AAAGATTTCATGGTTCCTAAAGGCCATGGACTAACGTCTTAGCTACTCTTACATCCTGTTGGACATGAATCCTTCAAAATATTTAAATTTTCTTCCTCTTGTCCGGTTGATAAACTCAACGATGGATGACATCACCATCGTCTTTAACCTCGCCTTAGTCGTCGTGTTCGTCTTCGTCCTCGTTGTCGTTTTCGTTGTCGTCTTCGTAGTCATCTCCATAGTCGTCTTTGTCGACGTCTTCGTTGTTGAGTTCGTCGTCGTGTACGAAGCCAAAAAGTGAGTTAAAATTTAACGAATGTTTCCATCAAACTGTGATGCTGGGAGAATCTCCCGTCTTCTTTATTATGGTTCATGCACTAAATTTTAAAAGTTGCAATTCTTCTTGAAAAATAACGATTCCTATAATAGCCAAAATTTTACAGCTGATTGAAATGATTAGGTGTGAGAATGACTATGTTTGCTTCAATAATGGTTTACCTTTAGGTCAAAGAACGCTAAATCGACAGTCGTAATTTTGTTTACTTAATATCGATGGTAAATGCTCACATTTCTTATTAAGATCGCAGTTGAAAAAATCTACTTTTAAACCAACTTTTTTTATTTTCTTCGTGAACATTTTATTATGTGCTTTGTTGGTCACTGCTGTCATTAGTAATATGAGAAAAATAGTTTTTTAAACAGTTGCTAACTCTGGGATATCGATTAAGATAACTTATTCCTGACCTGACAAACCTGAGAAAGAATTTGTCGGTCAGTGTCGACTACTCTTTCATGTTCCAGTGTCTTCTTCTTCAACTTGCATTATGCCACCAACAAGAATCACCTCTAGATTGCCAATGTTTAAAAACTGATTTAACAGAAGAAAGCGACTCGAAACTTCTAGAATACTGACTGACATCCGGCTGCGACTATAAACGCATTGACAGAGAAAAACAATAAAGGTGTAGACATGCTGAGTAGACACATAATAAGAATAACAATAAGCTTCGTAATGAACTATTTATAGAAATGTTGCTTCATTCCTTTGTAATTCGTAGAGCGGCATTCCTTTGTAATTTCGTCCAGCGTGATTTCTTGTTTATTCTCAAACTTTCTTGCAAAATGGTATAAAAGAAGCATTTATACGTGTATATTTAGTTAGTTTGTTAGTTACTCTTTATGCTCTTCAACGATAGACGATTATCATAAGAAGATTTGTGATTGCTCTCGTAATCGGAGAGTCGTTATTTTATGATCGATCGTCGAATCACTGATTTGATGACTGAATTTATTGTAGGTTCTTTACTTCTCTTTATACATTTGTGTGAATGAAGAAAAGGCCACTGTAGCAGGCTGCTCGACGGGCTCCAAGGAGTTCTTGCGGCGAAAAGTCGATAAAAATGTAGCCAATATCATAAATCAAACTGATTTACGTGTTTTTATTGTTGTTTATTCCCGGCCTATTGCGGTGTTTCATATTTGCTACAACTTTATACATTTGCCCGTGTTTATTTCATGAAAATTAGATATTTAGTCACAACGCTAGTGCACCTTTCATTTATAAACTCCAAAGCAGAAACTACTACGTATTCACGACTCCTTGAAAGGCCCTTCCTAAGACGCAATACACGTAATCTTTTGGTTCAAACGTCAGAACAGCTAGAACAAATTTTAACCACTTTTCCTATTCAATAGGTTAAAAGGATGTACGCTTCAACTGCTGGTTTGTTCTTGTTACACGCACGACAATTGTTTAACAATAATCGTTTTTTATCCTGGTAGCCTCAATCAAATATGACATGTTGGAAAATGTCACCTGATACACTTATATTTTATCGATTGTTCTCTTCGAACACTTCAGTGACTCTTTGATTTGCTTCTTTTTGATATTATCTGGATTGTTGGATTTATAGGTGGAATGAAAGAAATAACTACGGGGAAAAGACCCCACCCCGTCCTCTTCCTACGGGGAAAAGACCCCACTATTTCATTCTCTGCTACTCTTTATATAGTCAATAACGGTCTTACCTTCTTCAGACCTTCTTCAGACAAAGAGGAAGACTTTAGATACGCAAATGTTGGGATACGGTTGGTGTGTGAAGTGCAAAAAGAGACAAACGTGTTCCAACTATATACAAAACATCACGATACATATTTGCTAAAACAAACCCAAGAATAACATATTGATATCGTATCAAATTACAGCTGAGTAATGAACTCCGAACGAAACGAAAGCGTGAAAGCATACTAAGGCCTATTTACAACGTAGACCTTAGTACCTGTGAGGATGAACAGCCTTATTGAAGTAGCTCAAGGTAGCAACGCAAGGCTTTCTAATCTGAATTTAATTTATGGCATGACGATCGAAGAACATCTGATTTAATTTTGATAAGGTTTTGCGTTCAGCGGCAAACACTTCACCAATTCTGAATAAACAATAGACTTTTTGTCATCAGATTGTTATCACTAGAAATATAATATTCACTATCGCTTTTTAGGAAATGAATTTGAATTATTTTCCCATGAATAATTTATTTGTGTTAGCCTTTCTTTTGCCCGCAATTGTTCACTTGCGAGGCACCATAAATATTCCCATGATGCATCCGCCATAGATTCATCTACTAAATTGTCTTTGACACCTGCATTACATATTTGCTGCATTCTCTCATTATTTCGTATTGTTGTCTTTCAATTCAGGCTCCATGCTCTTTAGAACTATCAATTTCACATGCTTTGTGAGCGTTTTGCATATTGATGAATTTGTTCGTCAATAGTCTAATACTGCAAGTCATCAACTAAGATTGAAAAAACCCGGAACAGGTATTCCAGTATGCCGGTTCTTTCTGTTTCTCACTGTTGTTTATTGGCCTATTGTTCTTGCTTTGACGAGCAGGTTTACTCAGTTTAAAACAAAACAGTTTTTATCTCTGTAACCTGGTCAGCCTTGGGAGGCAAGATGACGCATGCAGGCAGAGCTGCTCGCTTTCAAAACAGGGGACATAGGAATGGGTGAGAACCTTAAAAGCTTTGTCCACTAATACTTGCCTTACGGCGTGTTTATTTCCACTAACGTTTGGCTAACAGTGTATTTATTGGTTTTGTCCTCGGCAACGTTGTTGTCTCGATAACCAGGTACTTACCCAGTAATCTGTAATGTTTACTGATTGATAAATCCACTGGTAAGAGCCTAGTGGCAACATCATTAATCTTTTTGCTTGCTCCCGGTTGCACTCTGTTTGATAACAAGTTTAACTGTTTAAAGCTGAGATTGAGCCGGTTTGTTTGCTATCACAGAGTTGGTTTTGTAGCTATGCAGACAAGATTACTCATCACGTTTGTTTCAACGTGAAAAACATCCTTTCTCTTAAAGCTAGGGTGACAGGGGCTGGGGGCGAATCACTCCATGAAAATTGCGTACACCCTTCGTGGAAAAATTTATTGTTTGATAAGAACATTTCTGCAAATCCTTTTGTGTTTGTGGAAATCACGTACGCTATTTGCAAGAGTGATTTGCCTCTCGGACAGAAGAATGTAATATCATTCTTTTTACAACCGGACATGAATGTCGTTTAATGAAAGATTGGATTCTTATTTTATAGATAAAGAAAAATAAATCTTCTTTTAACTAATTTTCTTTTTCAAATTTAACAATTTAAAACGGATACTTTTTTCTCTCTTATGCATGTACCTACGTGTCTATGGCTGTTGATAACAAAGTGATACATCACAAGGCTGATGCAATTAAGTTAATTGAAACCGGACATCTCAAAACAGCAAACAAATGATGTTTGGCAAATATTTTGGCCTATGGTTCAAGCCTCGTGCACATGTCTATGAACGGAAACATTCCTATACTGGACATTTCAAAACGACAAAACCTTAATATTGGCTCAATGACTTAATGGTCTAGGCCTTACGTAAATAACATCTATGAACGGACACTTTCCAATATTGGACACGTGAAAACCGGACACTTGAAAACGACAAAACAATAGTAATGGTCCAATGATATTTTGTATGATCTAAGCCTTATGTAAAAAACATCTATGAACGGACACTTTCCAATATTGGACACGTGAATACCGGACACTTGAAAACGACAAAACAATAGTATTGGCCCAATGAAATTGTGTATGATCTAAGCCTTATGTAAAAAACATCTATGAACGGATACGTTCTAATACCGGACACTTGAAAACGGCAAAACAATAGTATTGGCCCAATGACATTACGTATGATCTAAGCCTTATGTAACAAAAAATTTATGAACGGACACGTTCAAATACTGGACGCTTCATAACGGTTAACAATGATATTGGCCCAATGATATTGCGTATGATTTAAGCCTTATGTAAAAACGTCTATGAACGGACACGTTCCAATACTGGACACTTGAAAACGGCAAAACAATAGTATTGGCCCAATGACATTACGTATGATCTAAGCCTTATGTAACAAAAAATTTATGAACGGACACGTTCAAATACTGGACGCTTCATAACGGTTAACAATGATATTGGCCCAATGATATTGCGTATGATTTAAGCCTTATGTAAAAACGTCTATGAACGGACACGTTCCAATACTGGACACTTGAAAACGGCAAAACAATAGTATTGGCCCAATGACATTACGTATGATCTAAGCCTTATGTAACAAAAAATTTATGAACGGACACGTTCAAATACTGGACGCTTCATAACGGTTAACAATGATATTGGCCCAATGATATTGCGTATGATTTAAGCCTTATGTAAAAACGTCTATGAACGGACACGTTCCAATACTGGACACTTGAAAACGGCAAAACAATAGTATTGGCCCAATGACATTACGTATGATCTAAGCCTTATGTAACAAAAAATTTATGAACGGACACGTTCAAATACTGGACGCTTCATAACGGTTAACAATGATATTGGCCCAATGATATTGCGTATGATTTAAGCCTTATGTAAAAACGTCTATGAACGGACACGTTCCAATACTGGACACTTGAAAACGGCAAAACAATAGTATTGGCCCAATGACATTACGTATGATCTAAGCCTTATGTAACAAAAAATTTATGAACGGACACGTTCAAATACTGGACGCTTCATAACGGTTAACAATGATATTGGCCCAATGATATTGCGTATGATTTAAGCCTTATGTAAAAACGTCTATGAACGGACACGTTCCAATACCGGACACTTGAAAACGGCAAAACAATAGTATTGGCCCAATGATATTACGTATGATCTAAGCCTTATGTAAAAAACATTTATGAAAGGACACGTTGCAATACCGGACACTTCATAAAGGTTAACAATGATATTGGCCCAATGCTCTTGCGTATGGTCTAAGCCTTATGTGAATAATAAATGGACGCTTCAAATCAGCAGAGAAATTTTATTGTCTCAAAACATTTTTCCCATCGTATAACCCTTAAAAAAGTATCTTCCATCAACGACAAATTTTCAAATATCGGAGACCTTCAACCAACCGAAAATTTCATGCCTTCAGCTAGATCTTTTTTTCAAAAAACCCTTGTCAGCGGAAATTTTCTAATACCGGACAGCTCTTACTGGCAAACTAGTTTTATTTAAGTTTATTTAAGTTGTACATTTTTCAGGGGATGATTCCCAACAACGAACACCTCCAAATATCAGACAAAGGATATTGTTTCTTCATGAGACTAAAATATGATTATAGCAGCCTCAAGACAACGGGCTCCTTCCCTAAACAAAAGATTTATCTATCTTTTTTATTTTCACTTCATAAATTTTCACAGACGTATCGTCACTTTATAAACAAGAAGAAAGTACAGTTAAGAAGAACTACAGGCCAATTAGTGTTTTGCCAAATGTTTCAAAAGTTTTCGAGAGGCTTCTAGTCAAACAAGTGGAAGAACACATAGAACCGTATTTGTTCATACTATTATGTGGATTTCGCATAGGATATAACACTCAGCAAGCCTTGGTACGTTTTTCGGAAAAAACCAAGTTTGCATTGACGTAGGTGGAAAAGTTGGTGCTGTCATGATAGGTCTTCCTAAGGCTTTTGACTGCCTGAGGCAGATCTCCTTATAGCCAAATTGGACGCATACGGCTTCAGTCATGATGCCTTGTCTCTAATTTACAGTTACTTGCATAACAGACGACAGAAGGTCAAGGTCAACGGGTCTTTTAGCTCCTGGAATCAACTTACTTTAGGAGTGCCTCAAGGATCAGTGCTTGGAGCCCTTCTATTCATTATCTATAACAACGATTTGCTTCGTCCCTTAAATAATACAGATGTATGCAATTATGCCGACGATACAACTTTATTTGCTTGTAATATTGATACTGGTAATGTTGTTGCTAGGTTAGAACTAGATTCCGCCCATTCAATCAAATGGTTCTCTGACAATTATATGAAGCTCAATGAAGACAAATGTCATCTATTAACATTTGGAAATGTGAGTGATGACTCTGTTTCGGTCAAAATTGGCAGTTCTACTCTAACTAATAGTATTGAAGAATAATTGTTAGGAGTTACCTTAGATAGCAAACTTTCATTTGAGCAATATGTAAGTAATCTATGTCAAATGGTCATCAACAAGCTATATGCTTTGTCACCTATTGCACACTATATGGACCAAATTGACTAAAGGATACTGATGTTATCATTCATCAATAGCCAGTTTAAATACTGACCTTTGGCATGGATGTTCCATAGTAGGAAACTAAATTCTAAAATAAAAAAACTGCACGAGCAAACCCTTTCAAAACTGTTATTTTGCAATGCTATTTGTTTGGCAAGGTTTGTTTGAGTTATGGGAGCTTAAATTTACTGACGCATATTTTGTACATACTCATTTGTTTGTGCGTGGCTATGTATAGTGTCCACCAGAGTTAGCAGAAAACTTGCATCAAAGTATATTCAGGGCCGTGCCACTGATCGTAAATTGGAGGACAAGCTCTGTTTATAAATTTTACTCTTGCCCCCTTTACACCCAATCGTGGCAAACATTTTACTGACGATTTGCTTGTGTACTTTAGTTCAATGTATTTGTTGTAATTTAAAGGTTTATTTATATGAAATTTGGATAAAGTGAAGAGGTCATGCTCCCTTGCCTCCCTTCCATGGGGCAGACCCTGTTATCAAATATCATTTTTGAAGGAAGGAAGAGCAACTTTATGTTCTTGATAGAGTCGTCGTTGATGTAGCAACTGTACCTCGCAAGTGACATTATTACCCAGTGCACTAAAACTAAACAAGGGAGTATGGGGAAAAGATTATCATCTTGCTTATGGGCCAGCAAAGTACTTATATTGAATTCAAAAACTGATAAAAAATTTTATTAAGATATCCTTCAAATTTGAAATAATACCCAAAACTCAGGTGTGACCTTTCTAAAAACGCTGTCTAAATTATATTCCTGTTTCAAGTTTCATTTTACAAGTTCCGTTACTATTCATTTGTTTTTGTACCCTGCAAGGTCATTTAAAAAAGTAATGAGTAAAATTAATTCCCAGTAAAAGACATTTTTGCAGTGTTTAAAATCAATGTTTTAAAAGCATATCAAATATAAATAGAACTATGAACTTTATATTTTTGCTAGAAAACGCAATAAACTGACCCAAAAGCAACATTTCATGTTTGAAAACGGCGGGATATAAAATGATTGGGTCTTCTATCTTGAAATGATGTTTAGAAAAAAAAATTAAGGTGTGTGCTGGAACTGCATGATGGCAAAATCATGTGATCTTCTGTTAGTACTCTTTTATTCGTCAATTTGAATGATATAATTCTAGATGTGTAGGAGGCCTTGTTTGCAGTCATATTTTGTTAATTATTCACCTGCATGACTTACTGTTCTCTTCTATTGTTTTCCTTGCCACCTGCAAATACTATTTCTACATATAATTCAAATCGCATCCATATCGCTTTTATATGAAACAGGGTTGTTGTTGGCAGTAAAATAACAGTGATGCTTTATCAAAACCTGTGCTCCAGGTGATGATTAATTTCGCATGTCTTTAATAGTGTCGGCCTTTTATCTTTGACTTACAATACTTTGTCTGATTCTCGACGATGCATTTATTCTCACACCCATTTGATTTTGCTATTTATTTGTCCATATGTAATAAAATATCATTTTACGTTGACTTGCTACAAGTGCACTGGCTAGTTATACTTTTCTCTGTCTTCCTATTGAAACCTTGTTAACCTCTCTCTGAAAACTAAGAAATTGTTGTATGCGTAAATTGGAGATCAACTAGAATGTACGACATTGCTTTCGCTTTGATTCTATATGTTAAATTGTACGTGGTTTCTAGAAAATATTATTTTCTGCATGAAGACTTTTCTGCACAAAGACATTTCTGCACAAAGTCTTTTCTGCACGAACACTTTTCTGCACGGATTATAGGGACACTGGAAGTTTGAGAGCTGTTTCCCTTCAGAAGAAAATTGATTTGTAGTTACCTTCTCGAATAGGCCATTGCAGATCAGTCTTCGAAAGGAACCATGCAGCATTGCCTTACTAAAGGCTGCTCGTGCTTTGGACTAAAAGACTCTCTGCATATATAGGAATTAACAGAAGCAACTGCTTAACAGAAATAATTTTGGTGCATCTTTTCATCAGTGAATTAGTATAGCTAGAAGAATATTCATGGCAAACCAACCAATGTTTCTTTCAGGAAGGACTAGCTGGCTCTTCAGACATCTTCATTCGGTTTTTGCTTTTTTTTCCTTCGTCCAGTTTTCCTCTAATTTCAACCTTTCAGGACTTAATTGGAGCATACCTAAGAGATAGAGAGGAGGAAGGACAAAATTTTCTTAAACAAGTGTTATTTAAACGATCTTCGAACGAAGAAGGATAATTGTGTATGTTACCAAAATAACAATACTCTTTCATCAGTATATAAGAAAAGGATCTTTCAATTTTGATTTTTTATGTGCAGTTTTTTGTGAAAATGTTGTTTCTTATAAACCCAAAATCCCCATGAGGATATTTCTTTACGCCTTTTGAGACCTACAAAGCCTTAAAAGCCGAGGTGCGGCTGTTTTCATTTCTTTTTTAAAGGTCAAATTTTCTTAGATCGCATTGTTGCGAAACCCTTTCTACGTTATTCCTTTCTCGTCGCCTTATCTTTGCTCTTGAGATGGCCCCAACTGACGGGATGGAAGAACTATTCTTCTTCAGTCAGACACTATCTATGTCATATAAAAAGTGGCATGCGTTTATGAACTATATTTCATGCCTTTGCAACTGTAACAATTAAATGGGTTCTTAGTATGACGGTGAAGAACCTGGTAATAACAAATTTGTTGTTGGAGCGATGGGCTAGGCCAAAGGGCCTAGTTCTCGAATAGATAGAACACAAGAGATACTCTAGAGATACAAGAGATACTCCTTCTTTGATGTTATCTCTAATGATTTAACAGAAACACTAACTTCTAAAGTGATAAACACACTAATAACATAACGGAAGCTAATTAACAGGACAATAGGGACCTCACACTACATGTTGACAAACAATTACATTGCTATAAAAGGCGTTCGTTAACACAACAGGACTTAACAGAAAATGTGACTTTAACACGCAAAAGGAACATAACTAAATTGATTACATATAAAGGCCAAACCGTTACACAACTCACATTATAGTCTACTCTGTTAGAGCCCTCAAATTTTTAACTAAGTGAACAATCTCTGGAAATGATGGTCTTACTTCCTCTTTTTTCTTTAAATTTGGATATACAATCACTGCCAAAAGTCTTGGAACACTAACGTAGGTTTTCAAAGGCAAATTCAGCCATCCCCCTCTCCCCCTAGGAACAATGTTGATTTACTATAGAAAAAAGAAAGAGGTTATAGAGTGCGCTTTTTCTTGTATATTGTTTGATATTTTTCTATACTTTCAACATTGTTTTGGGGGGAAAGGGGGGCGGAAGTGGTGGTATTCAAGAAAACAAATGAAAAATAGAAAAGCACAGCCCAAAGTGTTAGGTGTTCCAAGTAATTTTGGCAGTGATTGTAGCTTATCCTTTCTCTTTTATTCTTGATACTAGCTTTTATTTCAGTCTTGCGTTTTTTTTCTTAAGTAGTTTTGTTTGTTGACAACTTAAAAGTAACTACTTACTCAATTAAAGGAAACTTACCAGAACGTTTGGAAAAGTGCTGACGTTTGCAAAATCTGCTGCCAAACGAAGAAAAAAATAATTATATTCTCAAAATTTATAATTCATTCATTATTTAACCTGTAAATTGAACAGCTCAAAAGGAGACATCCTCTACAGTCTGGCCATTTATTTTGAATAGTCGAAGGGAAACAAACGTCATTGCTGTTATCTGATTTTCTTTATCAAAATGAAATTCAAGTTTGATTTAACGGGATTGAAATTGGTTTGAACTCTGAGCAATCGATTGGCAAGATTGAATCACCTTTGTTGCTTCAACCGATATTTTGTAGCAATAATCTTTGGATGAATCTTAATACTTAAATCTGGTTGGAAAAATTTGTTCTTCCCGCTTCAACGAACATACAACATTAAGCTTCACCTTTTTTAACGTTTCATTGACTTTTTTGGACATGGTGCTCCAAATAACATACCTTTTTATGTGTGACATGCCAATATTAATTTTTATGTTTCAATATACATAGATCATGTTAGTTTCTCAAAGAATTTTAGGTTCATAATTCGAATTTCCCTTTCATTGTATTTGACATAATGTTTTTCAATAATTTGCATTATATCTCACATTATACAATGTATGTATGTCACCTGTCTATACCAGTCATACTTCCCTTACCACGCAAAAACCTTCAATATGGTTTTCTCTCTTTTCATACTGTTTCGTTGTTTCCATAATGGTTGCTTTGTTCTTGTAATGCTTGCTAATTTCATTTAACGCTAGCGACGCCGTGTATATGACAGAAATCAAACAAACAAAATTTCTTTTGCGTCAGTTGTACTACTATTCATTTTCTATCATCTAAACTCAACTCCCCAACATTCTTCTGTTATGAATTATTCAAAATTCTATTAAGACGAACTGTCATTAGAAATAAAACACGGTCATATTGTATTGGTACGACTTCCTGTGTCCGAAAAGACCTGTTACGCGTGTAAAATAATTCACCAATCAGCTGGTGTTTATATTATCAAGGGCGACACAATATTAAGCGTATATGAGTGTGATTTAGCAGTTTGGAAATGCGATATTGTTTTCGCAGCACATTAGCTGTAGCTTTGAAAATATCACCAATGTCTGGGCTTGAAAAGCTTTCCTGAAGCTGCTCTAAAGCAAAATGATAGCAAGACGGCAGTCGATTGCAGACAAAGCTTTTTTATGAACTACGTTGCGTGCTTTGGAGGCCGCTTCAACATGGCCAATTGATACTATTATTTAAAAGAACTTTTACCGATTTGAAAAGTCAGTGCAATTACGGTGTGACTTGTTGGATTTTTGAGGCGATTCGTGTGGAAATCTTTTAAGAATATGTTTCCTATTCTGAGCTTAAAGTGAACTCTATCTTTTCTTTCAACTTTATCCAACTAATATCAACAAAAGAGATTTGAAGAATACGATTTGAAAGCAGTTCGTTATTCAAATCAAGAAAATCTTGTTTTATTTGGAGATCATTTGTTTAAAGTTGGTTTTGTGAAATTAGTTTATCCAGCTTTTCTAATAACTTCATCTGAAAACTTCCATTGGAATCCTGGTCGCTTGCATGGCATACATAGGAAATTGTAGTTTGTTTTCCCGTATTATTTAGTTGACGCATACATTGACCACAGACGATTCATGCGATAACCACCCGATGTTGTTGCTTAAGGACAGATGCAGGCAATAAATCTTTAATGCTGAAATCGTTTCTGCAGTTCCCTGTTCAGTTACAGGATGATTTTTTGAAAGAGATGTTGCCGTTTAGCTGACTCACTTAGTCGCGGATAGTCAAATTGTCGATTATACGACTTTTTCATACATGAATAATTGATTCTTTAACTACTTCAATTATCTTGTTTTGCAAAATCACCGCCAAGCACCGAACTATCCTGCTCAACTCCAACGAGAAAGAAATATCTGCAATTTGCTTGTTTGGCTGTTAAAGTGAAATGACATGCACAAGTTGTAATCCGTAGTTCGGATGGTGTTTGTCGGTTTGCTGGTAGCGTGACAGGGCTCACTCTTACCACACAGCCTTTGCTTTCATTCACAAATCGTGTTCGCAGTTTCAGGCAGACTCAAGACACCCATGTGGCGGTACTTACTCCTCTTCAGCGAACGGATTTCATGATGCAGAATAAGCGAGTATTGACCAGGCACAAATCCATGCCAATACCAAAACTTAAAGTTCAAACAGTCGACGAAGAGAAATCATTGTTTGATAAGAACGAAGATGGCAGTCCTTTGAACTATGATTTTTCACAAGCTAATCAGAATTTTTCTGCTGACTCTAGGTACAAACTACGCAACATTCTGACGACAGATAAGCCTTCGGAGGATAAAGAAACGTAAGTCTCAGCTTGTTTTACTTCCACTTCCCTTTTACATTTGTCTTTCAATGTTATCTTTACGGAAAACTGTAAGAAGAATAATGTTGGAAGAAAAATATTACCTGATTCAATAGCATGTCATATTCACCTGTTTAAAACTCACATTATCATTTAGAATTAATTCGTTTGTACGCACCGATTTTTTTGGGTTATTTTGCAAACTAATACTACAATTCATAAGGACAATTTTGACTGTAACAGCGTGAATGACAAAAAATACTGTTGGGGATTGACATGAAGGGGCGTAGATATATGTCATTTTCAACTCAGGGTGACTGTGTAAATCTTCCATTTACCTTGATTCAGTTGAAATTTCATATATGATTCTTTTCTTTGTACATTATATTAATTTGATTCTTTAATATTTGTCTGACATATTTTCTCAACAATGACAGACAATTTTATTGATTATTGTAAAAATTTCATAAAACAGAGACTTGATTAACTAAACACTTCGCAAAACTCGCGTGGTAGAATGTTAAAGCTCCCATAGAAAGAGTTTTAGATCAAATACGCTGGAATACCTTCAAAAAAATTTTATCTATTCTTAGTTTATCAATGGTATTCTTTTACTTCTATTTTAGATTTAGGGCTCAAAGCTAACTTAAAACGTATTTCTGCCACAAAGTTTTGAATAAAAATTCCTTTTATATCACCGTAGTTAGGATGTTTACTTTTCAAGTAAAGTAATTTTTAAGTGCCCTTCCCGCAGAATCCCGAAAATTGTTTGATCTCCCTTCGGAAAAAATTCCCTCAAGATTTTGATGCCTACCCCAGAAAACAATAAAAATAGGGTGGAGTTTGGGCACGGCACTTTTATTTCTTTTTTCGTTGGTCATCCACATGACCTCTTTTTTTCCGTGCTCTACGTTTAGATAAAGGGAAACTTGCTTGAACATGCATTTAGCATTAAGGCAAAAGCTACACAAGGTAACTTGTTTGGAATGAATGGCAGAATCTGTAACCTGACCAACCACAAAAGATTTTCTTTTTACTCACAAAGAGAACGAGGAATAAAGCGATGAAAATTCGCTGTTGCTTTCATTAAAATGACTGCTAAATTATGTCTTTAAGCAAACTATGACCTGTTATAAAAATACATAACTGTGCTAATTTTAATTGTGCAAAGAAATTTTACAGAAATACAGCAGTTTCTGGAAATTTGAATAACTGTAAATTGAGGTCAGTGATGGTACTGAAAGAGAGTTTTGATTGGGTGGAAACTGATTACGATTCGTGTGACATAGTAAGGACTGTCATTTCACAGAGCATTTTGTATTGATACTGACCAAATTAAATAATAAGTAAAGGCAACTCATTCCTAAAGGACTTGTTATTTCTATTACAGTTGAATTCCTGTCTAGATTGCTTAGCCTTTGTAAAGACGAGGAAACTTTTTGCAAATGGAAAATATTAATAATAAAAACATGTTTATATGACAATACAAGGTGTCGTGGAGTTACAATATTTCTTAAAATACAAAATTTGAAACAAAGAGAGCGATGTTGAACCTTTTTCAGAATATGTGTCTATTTGAATGAAAAGACGGCTTCAAGCAACAAAAGCTATCGAAATAGCAAAAGTTGAATTTGAAGCAAAAGCTTGAAAGACAGCCATGGTATCTGTAAATATGTCAATGGCAATTGCATGTGCCAAAGGAAGATTTAATAAATTCTGGGTCAAAAGAAAAGGTCATAGCTACTTTTGCACTGGTCTAGTATCAAATAGTTACATGTTTATAGAGTAGGAACATTTTGATGCTCAGGGTATCTGAACCAGGGAGCACTGTGGGCATTGGGGTCACCGGGTCAACGTTCACCGGGGTCACCAAGGTTACAAAGTCTACCAAGGTCATATGCCACTAATATTTTGGAAAATGCTCCTTTTCTCAGCAGTTTCCTCTATATGAAGTTTTAGAAACGCATCCCTTCTTTTAAGACATAATGCCTCTTTCAACATGTTTCTGTCCAATTTTGAAATGCTTTTGACGTTGCTAGTCAAAAAATTCCAGAAGTGCAGTTACAGTTTTTAAGTTAAATCACGAAAAGTTTAGCTTGGCTTCAAATGGCAGGTGAAATCACAATACAATGGTATAGAAAAAGACTAAAACAAAGTATGAAGATAACAACAGAAAAAATCTCTAAAACAAAAGTGTTAAGTGCCGGTTCCTACCCCCAGGACAAATGCATTTATTAAGATTTGAAGCTTCTATTTTGTAATTAACTTAGTAGCCATTTCAAAAGTTTCGCATTTGTTGTGCAAGCACGCAGTTATTTGCGCGTGGTAAGTGAATTTCTATTCGAGCTATGCTATTCAATCAAGCTGCGAGCATCAAATAATGAGTAAGTGCTTTCATCATAACACTCGAAAATTGCACCTGTTAAATTTTTAACACGCATCTCCGCTCATCGGAAACCATCTTGTATTAAGCATAGAATGGTTTTCTTGTGGGAAAATTGCTCTGATGCCACGTAGGTTTATGTAAAAAGCGAACAATTTGCCTTGATTAGCTTAAAAGACCATTGATATCCAATAGGGGTTGATAGGTTTGTGTGAATTCTGAATAGCAAATCAGAAGAACGCGTTCAATATTCTGCTGGAAAATTGAGAGCAGCTATGTCATTCCACGTTCTGCCTTTGCTTCTAATACTATGATATCGCGAGGTCTGTGATTTAGCCTACTTGCTAGTGAACAAATTTTTGCTTCTATCTGAATCAAATTCGCTGTTTGTAACTCTGTTTTGTGTTTGTTGTAACATCTTTTGGACAAAATTAAAAATTTGAAAGAATGTTTTTAAGTTTGAGCGGACAACCTTTATAAATAGATCTTTCTTGTTCTTGCAGCGTCAGGGTGAAGTATTACATACACGAGAAAACATTCAGAGAAAGGTTAAAGATCATTTTCATCACCAATCATAAGTCGAGTAAGTACAGTACACATATTCAGAGTAAAATCTTCGAGGTTGACCCGTGTACAGCTTTAGAAAGCGTATTTTCTATCTTAAGAATGAGTTGAAAAAAGACAACTATCTTCAGGCATTTGGTTCGGCTCAGATCATGATCCAGTAGTTTTAGTTTCAGGTTCAGATTCAAAACCGAATCCAAATCCAGATACGTATCAGAATGAAGCTTTTATGTTTTATGATGTGAAAACAACAAATAGCAAAAGCATGAGTAATTTTCCTAAGCGATTCTTCTAAGCAACATTCCTTACTACATAGATCATCTCATGTTATGGCTTGACTTTATTCTTCTTGCATCTCTTTGATATAATTGAATCTCGAAGGAATATTCATAAATTTCATTCAACTGAAAAAAAACAACATTTATCTAAAAGCTAAATAAATTTACTTGTGAAAGTCTTCTATAAGAATAGTTCTAGTCAGTTTGGCAGTTTTGCGAATTAACGTGTGCATGACAAACAGGTAAATAAATCAATTATGATAAAACTGATACGGTACAAGGAGTATGAAAAATATCGTCAAACTTAACACAATATTGCTAATGCTATCAATTCTAGCTTGATTTTTAGCTTGGCATAAAAGTAGGATGAAAAACCACCACTACAGTCCAGCTAATTTAAAATTCTTAAGGGAGGGGTATGAGGGGATTCTTTTCCGCAAACAAGCTATCGACGTGTGACCTCAAAATTTCAGTATAGATTGTTTATACTGACACAACTTCACGTGCAAGAAAAACTTGAAATCATCATCACGCTTCCATACGCAACTCTTTTGTAACCTTCTGAAAGACTCTACCTTTCCTTTCTCCTGTAACAAAGTAAATTCAGTAGCTCATCAAATTTCTCGCCCCTTTCTGAGCTAATCATTGAAACAATGCTCTTCATAAAGTCAACAAAGGTTTCGAATCCTTGGCCAACATCTTTGTTGGCTTTCATGAGGAGCGTTTGTTCGACTACGACCAAAAGCCAGTGCTTTTCTGGGCACGATGTCTATTTTCGGTATGTGGATGACACATTTACCATTTTCAAAACAGAGGCTGAGTGTGATACCTTCCTAAAACACCTTAATAGCGTTTGATGTTTAAAATTTGAAAAGAAAGAAAATGATTCCTTGCCATTTTTAGATGTTTTAGTCGAAAAGTCTAACACTGGATTCCTTACCAGTGTATACCGCTATAAGCACTTAGGGCACTGATGATCTGCTCGAAATCTAAATTGCACGCTGAACTGGAAAAGCTTAAAACGATCATTCTGGATAAAGGCTATCAAGAAGATGGCATTTGATCTCATACTAAGGAGAAGATCGCAGGTTTTTCAGCTGTTGAAACGTTTGGTCCGCAAAAGTGCCCAGTTTATTTGAAACTACCATGGATTGGTAACACTTCCTTGCGATTCGAGAGTCAAATTAGCCAAGCCACAACCAAATGTTCCTTTGCTGTCAATCCTCGGATTGTTTACAGCACTAGAAGAGCCCTTCCATCTATTCATGAATTAACGTGCCAGTGTGATTCTGGCTACGTAGCACGCACAACCCAAAGACTGGAGGATAGGATAAAACAGCATATTCTTTCCAACGTAAGAAACAAAACTGCCCCTCAAAGAGAACAGCCTCCTCGATCAAGTAGGTCTAGAAACACTGTTAAAACAGGTGATTCTGCCATCGGTCAACATTTTTTAGACAACCCAGATTGTGCAAAACTCTATAATAACGACGTGTCTCGGATAATTGACAGAGCCCGGTCATCCTTCCATCTAGCAGTTTTGAAATCGATCTACATACAGACGAAAAAGCCGCCATTATGTAGACAGAAGGAGTTCATTTTCTCTTTTGGACTCCAGTGGTAATTTTTCATTAGGCTCGCGGCACTGATTGGTGAACTACACCGGTCTTGTGCTTGCGTTTTTCGAATTGGCCTATTTCGATCCACAACTGGGTAAATATTTTTCATCATGTTCTTTTGAACCATTTTTTGACATTTTATGCTCTGAGGAGTGTCAGACGAAAGAGCTTTTAGCCAATATGTTGTAAAATGTTTGCCTTTTTCAAAGCCATTTTCAAGTTCTATACCGCCAAAAAATTGTTCAAAGTAGTATTCGCTGTTTTTCAGGCTTAGATCATTTGATTCTGGTTGGAGGTATTTCTTCTCCGTTATCTTTTGCTACTTATATAATCATATTACGATTTTCTTTGAAAGTCCACAGGCTCATTTTTCATTGTCCAGATTCTCGTCCTTTGATCAAATTTATTCCGAACTGCGGTTTTGCGTAAAGCGGTTATCAACCAAATAAATCAAAATCCACAACTTTAATAGTTGATTATTCTAAATTTAATTAGTTTTCTTATTTTGCTGTCCTCTACATTCTACTATCATAGGCTCATTTAGCATAAATTATTCACCATGTAAATTAATCTTTGTCATTTTGATTTTAAAATCTGCTTTACATTTTGAGCGCACTATAACTGTTGGCTATTTGCCTAAAAATACTTGGACGCCATCTGTGCTTCAAGACAAAGCGATTCGTAAGACTATGTTACATGAATTAGGCTTGGATTAATGTCTTCGTTCGTTCACATAAAACTACGGTCGTCAACTTACTTAAAGATTTGATCGCCATCTTCATTCGTCAAACGAGTCACGTGCCACCGTTACATTTTCTTTTCGCTTTCATCTCATCTCTTCTTATCTTCTGCACTGAGTACCATATCAGTCATTGTGTCAAACTGGAGCTTCTCTTTTATTATTTTGGCCCACATCTTCACTTACACAGTTCTGTGTTCTGTTATCAAACTGCACACAAATTAACCTGTCTAAGTATCATTTTCTTTTATAGAAAAATAAGGCACACACTTCATACATTTACAAATAAAATCCAATTAGGTATCAGTTAAATGTGTACCGAGCTCGTTACATTTATTTCTGATGAAGCTCTGTATGCTTGAACGAGGTACTAAAAATTCCTTTTAATGTTTTTGTCAAGGTATTCATTCCTAGTTGTATTTTATTGTTTGTTTAAATTTTGAAATAACCTATCCTCATAGCAACTTGTTCTCTAACCTGCTTTTAATTCATTTCTTCTTAGGTATAAGATGGCAATCTCTGCGCTTTGCAATATTTTTGTCCTCCTGTATGGCATATCTACTGCGCGCCCTCCTGGATACAGATCCAAAAAGATCGGGATGGTGAGTGAAGATCGAATTCCATTTCTCGGCGAATTGTCTCTAACATACATGATAGAATAACATTGTATAATGTGTGATATGATATAATCAATTCGATAAAAAAGTAGTTTCATGAATCATCATTTTATCTTTAGGTCTAGACATTTTTCTAGATATTTCGAAAAAATTATGTTAAGTCATACCTCGGATGGGTTGGATATTCACAAAGTTGGATTGATTTGAATTTTCCTTCTTTATTCAAGACAAAAGTTGCACCCTGAATAAATTGGACATCGCTAAGTCAGAACTTTCCTTTACATATCTTTGTCTTTTCAATTTTATGACATTAGCTTTAGATTTGAAACAGTTATATGAAGATATTTCTCTATTCTGCCGCAATGTATGAAGTATTTTATTTTGTCTTTCTTTAGTGGCGGATGTCCTGAAGATAGACGAAACACAACAAAATGGTGTTGCCCTGACTATTCTAAAGATGATATTCAGTGAGTTTTACTTTTTAAATGACCCTTTAAAGAATACTTTGAAGAATAGCTTTAAGATATTTTAAATCGCAATGTACAAATTGTATTACAAAAACCGTACTAAGACGTTATCGTATTCAATTTTGTTACAAATTGAGAGAATATTTAGACTGCACTTTCCAAAACAAACGCTAAGAAACGGACACAGTGGAAGTGGTATCACTAGCAAAAATGTCCTCTGAAAGTTTCACAATATAGTAATATTTCTTAACGGATATGTACATCAACAAGGAACGTTCAAATTTAAAAAGATTACTTACCGATAGAACAAAGCAACAAAAAACTGAACCCCTTTTCAATGACTACACCTCACTGATCTCTATAAAAGACCCACCGTTCACCGCGAAACACCGAAAGGAACCGACACGAGAGCTAAACGGGGTACACAATGTCAAAAACTTCTTTTTACAAGCTACCTACCTCCATCACAAAATAGAAATGACATTTCTATATTATGCTTCTATCTCCAATTGACCAACTTTTCAATAAAGCAGAACATACAGCGCATCGGACGCAGCGTGTGGCACGACAATAAACATCTTTGATCACATCGAACGTTTGAAATTTTTAAAGTTACAATTCTGATCTGTTTTTCAACCTAAATTGGAAATTTGAACCTCTGACGTTATTGTTAATCTTATGTAGGCCCACACTCAACGATGGGTCCCACGCGGACAAGCAACATTGACAGGCATTTTTTCAACTTAGTAGCTGATAGGGTTTCTGTGTATAAATATGATAAATAAAAATGATAAATAGTCTGAAACGGCAGAAATTCGATCCAGTGTTTTATAGAGATCAGTGCTACACACATGCAACTCGATTGTCCGTAACATAAGGTCATTAGTTTTAAACGTAATGAGAAATTGAGAATTGTCGGCTGATCAAAATGCGTTCTTGAAGTGATAAAAGAGGGACAAAAATAGGTTATATTTTTTATATCAGAAGGCAAGCTCATCTTTAATTTAGTCTTACTGACAAGTTTTTTGCTATCAGTAGAACCTTTTAGATTTTTTGTACCAAAATTAAATATATTACAGAAAGTTTCATTATTTTATCTTGTTTATGCAAGTCATTATAATACTGATTTACTTTTACCCTTAAAACTGCAATTTAGCCTTCGGGAGCTAATTTATCTCTAGAGGTTATAGAATAGAGCTTGAGAGAGAGGGTGGCTTAGAAAATACAGGGAGAATTCATTTCCAAAACTATAAAGACCCTTGTCAGTCATGTCTTGAACCTAATTCGTCAAATTTCTGAAGCGTTAAGGCTGTTTTCTCATATTCACACCAACTGGCTAAAAACCATTTGTTCAAGAAACACATACCGCTTTGTTTCTGTCTCAAAACATGCCAGGGGAGTTAGAAGCTAAACGTGATGAAAATTTTTTATATTAAACATTATATATTACCCAAAAAATCAAAATCGGCCTATCACCTTGTTTTTAATAGACTTTCTTCAACCAGATGGAACTGGGTTTTATCGCTTAAGGCTATAAGGGCTTAAGACTTATTTCAAATTTCTGTCTCGATCGAAGTAGGCTATTGGAAAGGGAATATAATGAGTCGGTGCTTCAGAGAGCTTAACCTTTGGATATCAAAATTTTGGTCGAAAAAATTCCAAATTTTTGAAAATTTAAGAGTCATGATTTTAATTTTTGATTCATTATTTCAGTATTTAACTGTTTTATGTAGATTGTTGCTGATTCTAAAATTTTATTTCAGTATGGCATTACTTTGGGTGGATCGGCCTATAGGCATATGGGCCTTCCAGGTGGGCGATTCTTTTGATTTATTGTTTATTTTTGTTATACTTTATTCGGCGCTTCTGCCGGACCATACTCTTGGAAACACATTACTTGATTTCCCTGTCTGATGTCATGACCTCTCAAAATCTGAGATAGGTTAGCATCGCAACATAAATCATTTATAAACGAGGATAGGGGTAGTGGAGATCACCATGAGCAAAGTGGGTGCTAAACGTTTACCGGGGCTTAGTGTTGATCTTCCCCGAGTATTATTAATCTATTGAGATAGATCCCTCATCGCCACCATATCTCCTACGCCCTTGAAGATAACATATAAACATTCTGGATTCATTTGGGAGTGGCTCTCTTTCATCACATCGATCTTTCAGATATTTGAAAACATCTTAAGAGATTTCATAAACAAATATTGGCCAATCTAAATTCTTAAATTGATCTCCTAGCGAAAAATTGCAATCATTTCGTATAAGCTAGGCTAATGAAGTTAAACCTATTAATCATAATTTGTTTTTTCAAATACATTATTAGGCATTTCAGCATTTGAAAAATTAAATTGAAACACAATACAGCTGTGATGTAAATTTGACGTCATAGTATAATTTGAAGGATCTCATCTTCGTACGGCAAGTTGCGTATCGGAGATTCACAAAATATACTATTCCAATATTATAGTTCCCCATTGGTACCTCGAGTCTAATCTTATGCTAATCAGAATGTGAATCTGAAGCATTTCAATAGCGAAGATAACAAGCAAACAGGCCTAGGCCAATTCAATATGAGCTTCGTTGAAAGACTTCTAATTCAAATGAACTGGAGTTTGTATTACCCTACCCTGGATACCAGACTCCCTCTATATAAGATAAGAGAGAGTCTGGTTCGACGCGCACCTCTCCTCGTTCTGATGTGCCGATATTGACCAATCAGGATCAAGTGTACAGATTTCTGTACCTTCAAAGGTCACAGCGAAACAATAAACGTAGCTCTGGTGTAAAACCACAGAGTAAAAATAACTCTCCCAAACAATTACAATTAAAAGCCAAAGAGTGAAACTCGGAGAAGCAACTTCGAACCGTCCACTTCTATACACCAAAATCGTGTGCAGCCCTACCTGTTCGACATCGAGCATTTCATGACAGACCTGTAAGCAGTAGTCTCATCCAAATATTGGATGCTAGCTTTCCAACATTGCGCGTTGGCAGTATTTCTGTCCGTTGCGATGGCGCGTTGTGTAGCAGCTGGTTAATCCCCGCTTTATCTTTGGGCATTCTCTTCCAAATTGATTTTTGTTAAAATTGAACTGTATTTTCAATTAAATTGACGAGCCTTTTAAGATCTGATTCAAATATTGCGAATTTTCGCATTAATTTTTAATTGATTTCGTATTTTGCATTTTTTTTGCAACTTTCATGTATCTGCATTTTCTCGAAATTTTTTTATTTTAGACTGCAGTTGCCATATTTAGCATCTTTGATGCAATTCTCACCGGATTTCTGTCATACAAAGTTAGTAGAATTCTATGCTTTTGGAAACATAACATTGATCTTCTCTGTACACACTTTTGGCATTTCTCCTCTATTTATAGCCAACCGTAAAAAACCAAGTGGCTAGTCTTTGTAATTTTTTTGCGTTTTCAAAATTTGACTAAAGACTAGTTATGGCCTTTATAGCTGATGGAAACTAGTTATGGCATCAATATACACTTACTATCACCTATTCCAGTGGTTATTATCTATCGCTGGTTATGTTGAGAGATGTTTTTTTGAAGATTTCCTTGCCCAGAAGTCAAGAGAAATCTTCTCATAAGAGACAACATCTAATATTTCTATGTGTTAGTAGTTTATAAAGGTATCCTAACTGGAAATCATTTAAAGTAAGCAAAGAACATTTGTTTATAGCATCATTTTTTTAATCGTTACTAAGCATCAAATGTTCATAAGCATCATGGCTAAATTTTTAGTTTACTTTATAATAAAACTTTACACATAACCAAATCAAAATCGATGAATTAAAATTCTTTGATTTAAATAAATCCAACAATTTAAAAAAATTTGTCTTCAATGAGGACTTAAATAATAACCATTTTTTTCAAATTTTTCTCGTCAGTAATTGACCAATACGGCGTATCTTGCGGGAAATTAGATACTAATTGCTTTGTACCCTAAAACCCCCGTATGGGTCATTATTACCAGGAGTGGAGAAGGTTCTCTTCGCTTCTCTGCTTGGCATTCTGTTTATGCACTCGAAATTTTGTGCCTCGGTACCCAGGGTATGGTCAATAGGCCATTGCAAATACCATATGATTTTTGATATTTTATGCAGGGCTCTCTTCTTGGCGCGATCGGGAGGTACATGATATTAGAAATATTAACTGGTCTGCCCTTCATCATTTCGGTAAGTTTCTTCCTCTAATTACACGGCTTAATTTATTACACATTCTTATTCATTTTAGATTTTGGCATATTTTAATACTTAATTTGCTGTTAATTAGATAATATCAAACAGCTAAACTTTTCAGCCACAAAATTTTGAGAAAAAGCAGTAGAATATTGAAACATATTAAAAGTTTTATTTTCATCCAAGTCGCTGAATTGCAAAAATGTTACCTATAGAAAATCACAAATAAACATCTTGGTGTACGAAGCAATCGGTGATCAGTTGTCTCAGTAGGCAATTTGAGGAATATTGGGACAAATTTTCTCATTCGGTTTTAACGATATAAGGGCAACAAATTTCAAAAAGTTTTAGTTTTAGACAGAAAAACTGAAATTTGTTTGTAGGCTAAAGAACAAAACCTGGTTGTTGTATAGCATTGATGTGGACAGTAAAGACACAAAATTGATTTTGCATTTATTTCGATAACATAGCAGAACATTACAGCATTAAAGCGATAAGCAATTTATAGATACCAGCTGACTCTCCTTGCATTCATTAAATTGACAATTTTACCAAACTGCATACTACGTTTCAATATCTGAGCTTACATGGAAGTGGACTGGTAACTACACAATGCGGTTGCTATGTGTGCAACCTATTTCCAGAAGTTGAAACGTCGATCTATTTGTTCTCATAAGTAGCTGCCATATTGGCTATGGGCTGTGAGAAATTATTGGTAAAAATCGCACCGAAAAACGGAAACATATCACATTGAAGTAGTTTTCTTTCGACATTTTTCAGAATAAAAACTCGGATAATGTCCAATTTTTTTAAGAAAATTAGATATCCAGATGTGGATCGAAAGTAACACGAGGAAAGAAAAGCGCGTTTGATTGGTTCCTTCTTTGACCGATTGCAGCTGCTAACCTCTCACCTAGTCGAAGAGTACGAGAGAGAAAATGAATGTTATCTGTCTATACAGGTCGAGATCGTTTGTTTGTTGTAGACAGATTCCAAAACGCCTAAACAAAGGACATCAACTATAATTTTAACTACTGATTTATCATTTTGGCATTTGGCTGCTAACGAATCGTCGTTGACAAATTTTTGATGTTTTCATGATGAAACAATCTCCTGCTACCGGGCCCCAAGCTACTTTGATTAGAATGCAATCGTCTTCTCTCTTTTCTTTCCTGCCAAATTTCCTAAGTATTTGGGACATGTTTTATTCCTAAAGTTGCACCCTTGGGAATATATACTAGTTATTAAGATTATTAAAGAGAGAAACTTATCCGAATCTGAATTTTTCTTATCACCAGTCCTTCATTCATCCCTCATCTTTGCTTCTGGTGCTATCACAATTGAGCTGTTGCATTGCTCTGAAACCCTACTTTTCGATTTCGTAAAGTATAAACAGAATAGCAAGGAGGAATTTCAGTTTCGGAAATCGGCGTTTGATTTCATGCAAAATGTGGTTCCATTTTATATTTATGTGTGACCTATTTCCTTTCCTGTTTGTTTGCTATTTGACTCAGGGCTCTCCTTCCCATTGAGCTCTCTTGGGTTTTCACTCTATTGACAAACTATCTTTGTATATAAATATTGATCCTATTTTCACCGCCTACTACAGTCCTTGTCAGTATAATGTCCTGACTTTTCAATAATTTTGCATTTTTAACCAAACATGGTTAAAGTTGTATTGTATCCTATTATATTTTGCGAAATCGGTTTATCGCTGAGGAAAGTTCATAACATGCTGCACATAAATTGCAAAGTCTACTACGAGCTGAAAATATTGCTGGTCTTGCAAAGACTGAAAATGGTTGATTCGGAGAAATTTAATTTTACGTGCTGCCGATCTGTTGTGTTGTTTTTTATGAACGGTACACTAAGTCAGGCATACTTAACGCACGTACGAGCTATACATAATGCTAATTGAATCCTGATTGTTTATGAAAGTGGCAAGGTTCTATAGGCTAGTAACGGCGGCTCTTTAACTTCCTCTTTGAAATATTAATCATGTTTACAGTCCAGCCTAGTGTGGTGCTTGTTTGAAAGAAGGTTGACTTGCGTCAGACATGATAAATTGCATTTACACTCTAATCATCGCGTATAGATCAAGCTTTTACGTAGACGACTTTATCATCAAGAAACAACAATAGCTTTTGAATTTTATGAATAAAGCGACAGATAATGTGGAATCAGCAGGAGCACGCAAATCGAAGAATTTCTCCTTTAATTGCAACGATATGTCAGCTGTCATCAAATCTAACTGCAAACTGTCATTAAATCTTCTCATAATCAGTAAAGACTCATGTGCACCAACGACCAACAGGAATGCTGTTCTGTACTTTTCGAAACATCCTTGCCTTTCTATGCAGGCATAAGCAAGGCTTTAAATAAACCATCTCTTTGTTTATTGGTATGAATACTTGAAAAGATCTTATTTTTGAATAAATTCATTATCATTCTCTTGACCTGTCTTACACTTACGCAAGCTGCAGGTATATTTACCAAACTTGCCACGCCAAGCTAATAAAATGAAGATCTTATAACACATTATCAATCTTGCCACGCCAAACCTATGAACTGAAGATCCAGTGCTTAAGCTCTTCAGTTAAGCGACCAGAAGTGATTAACGAAGTATTACTGCTTTAATGCGCTGGCAACTATTTTCAGTCACGTTGCTTACATTTGAATCATCCCACTCATAAAGGAGGGTAAACAAATGCTTTGTTTAAAGAGGAGGCTACTGCAGAGTGTCTGTTATTATTCTACGAGGGTCGACTCGGCTGGTGGATCACTGTCTCGATTCCTGCAGAAACCAACGCCATATTGAACAAAAATATCGCCTTGGAAAAGACACCATGCACTTTGCTCTTTTCAGTTTATTGTGTCGCTGCTTTTTGATTGGCAGTTTTTGCCTAATAAAAGCTAGCTCAGTTTGCGAGTTGAATGTTCAACCGTCTGGAGATTCGGCTTTGCTCGGAGATTACAGCTCCTGTGAACCTATCGAAGAACTATGGACGCCAAGCATTGCGATCTGTCGTGATCGTTGCCTCAGGTCAGAATTGACTTGTTTGTCCTTCAATTATAATTGTGGAGAAGCTGAGATGTATAACTGCAGGCTGTTTGGAAAATCATTGGATGCACTCGTTCGTTATAGTTACGACCATGCAAGCATTTGCAGGACTTTTTCAGCAAAAGATAGCTGTGTTCACGAAGATATATCTGTGACGAGGCAGCATTTGCTAAGACGGTGTACCAACGGCTGATATTTACTGTTCATATTTAATGTTGATAGTTTATTTTACCCACAATCGATGTTCTACTATTGATAGATATTGTACCAACGGCTGATATTTACTGTTGTAACTTTATTTCCCGACAGTCGATGTTCCAATATTGATAGATATTGTACCAACGGCTGATATTTACTGTTGTAACTTTATCTCCCGACAGTCGATGTTCCAATATTGATAGATATTGTACCAACGGCTGATATTTACTGTTGTAACTTTATTTCCCGACAGTCGATGTTCCAATATTGATAGATATTGTACCAACGGCTGATATTTACTGTTGTAACTTTATTTCCCGACAGTCGATGTTCCAATATTGATAGATATTGTACCAACGGCTGATATTTACTGTTGTAACTTTATCTCCCGACACGCGATGTTCCAATATTGATAGATATTGTACCAACGGCTGATATTTACTGTTGTAACTTTATTTCCCGACAGTCGATGTTCCAATATTGATAGATATTGTACCAACGGCTGATATATACTGTTGTAACTTTATCTCCCGACAGTCGATGTTTCAATATTGATAGATATTGTACCAACGGCTGATATTTACTGTTGTAACTTTATCTCCCGACAGTCGATGTTCCAATATTGATAGATATTGTACCAACGGCTGATATTTACTGTTGTAACTTTATCTCCCGACAGTCGATGTTCCAATATTGATAGATATTGTACCAACGGCTGATATTTACTGTTGTAACTTTATCTCCTGACAGTCGATGTTCCAATATTGATAGATATTGCACCTGAATTTGAAAACTCACTGACTGTCTGCACATTCCTTCGGTTAATTCTTACATATTTTATTGTCTTTGGATTGCAATTTATTTTGAATACTGCAGCTCCTAGTTTCTCTGGAAATATTGTTCGACTTGTTAATACTGTCTTTAGTATATGTTAAGATTTTATTATAGAATAATATGCATTGAAAACTATTTTGGAGCTTTTTTAACAAGTGCTTCCTGTGTTCCTTAAAGGGTTAGCAAAGCATTCTTTAGCTTGGTTACATAGTCGCGAAATATTTTGTTTGGTTTCATTGCAAATGCGGTTTTCATTTTTGATATTGTGTGTCTTTGCGAGTGTTTTTGTGTAAGTTATGTAGGTGAACTTTGAATGTTTGGAAACAACTTGATTTTCGTTAATGTTTAGGAAGCTTTATTTTTAAGAGGCCCGGTTTTTAAATTATCATTTTTCGTCATAAAGAGATTCTCAATACTATCGATTAATTAAAAATTTGCAAAACAAAACAAATCACCGAGGACTCCTTCTGTTATTAGAATCTAGAGATATGATAAATCCTGTGTGATCGATCTATATGCTGAAACTTCATTATCCAGTTAATAATAAAGATTATTATATGCATCTTGAAACTTTTCCTTATTGACAATTTTTTATCAAGCAGAAAACTGCTCTTCTTTACTCAAATTGGCAAAGGATAATAGCAGAGTTAATGTTCCTGCCAAAAAGCTAGATAGAATTTTTGATTCGTCTTAGTGTGTCTGAGACCCATAGAAAGCAGTTAAAAGTATGTATCAGAGCTTAATAGCCTTGTGTTTTTGAAGACAGGATTTTTTTGCAAAGTTTTTACAAGCATGCCGTTATAACTAAAAATAGTTAATTTCAATATTCACTGGATTTTTCAATATACTATCAACATTAATTATTTTCTTGCAATCATAGACACTTGCTAGGCATTTCTGTTTAAATCTTAGGCACTTTCTAGGCATTCAAGAAAGTCCTCTCTGCGTCCGCAAATTCTGTTTCATTTCTTGAACCATAACCGAGTAATTAAAAAAACCTGCACAAGAAGATAGCAATAAAGATATCTCCTTATCAACTTTAATTGTTGTATTGTCCTCTTATTTTGCATCACCTATAACAACATTTGTTATTTTTCTTATTTGATTTTTTTCCGTTCGAGATGCATTCATGCAAAATTTGCTTGAAAAGAGATATTGCGGTATGTGTTTTACTGCAATCTTAATCTCAAAGGACTTCTGTAAGGAAATCTTGTTTATCCGATATATGCTAGAATTAAACATGCTTAGCCAATATCAGTTTTTAGCTTCCTAGAAAATAATTATCCAAATTGGCCAGATTGTTTGCAAACATAGTTTCTTATTCTGGCTTTAATTATTTGAGATGCCGAAAAACTTAGCGTAGCGTATCAAGATTTTGGCAGAAATTGTAACTGCCCACACAGTAATGAACAGTATTGTACAGATTCATACAGTCTATTAAAAATTTTAAAGTATCTATATTCCGAATTTAATACTGTCTAATTTTATTTAATAATAAGTGCGGTGTAGTATAATGGACTTATTTCAGATAACTATAATGTTTAACTCCACAGCCAACATTATTTTGAGGGGTATGAGGTGACAACATCATTTTTACGGGAAACAGCTAATTTTATCAAAACAGGGCTTAGGCAACTGGGCGTCCCGAAGACTTTGGGCTGGGATTGTTGCAAGAGTTAGGTGCTAGCTTGTGTGGTACAAAAAATCCAGGCTGAATCCTGAAAACTTAGCTATTCCTGAATAATCAAGAACCAATATTCTCCTTGGAAACCCCCATAGAACCTTCCTCTAAAAGGTTTCCTACCTCCGAAAAGACTACAAGTAGTGACGTGGCTAATGTTTTTCGCGATTCATTTGTTTTTAGTTCTATGTTTATCCAAATATTTTCGATTTCATTGGAAAGGTTTCAACATTATACTCCTGTTTTCATTTTTGCTTCACTCTTGATCAGGCCTAGGTAAAAAATCAAACAATTTTAAAGTTCCCCTTCCCTGTATGTAGATGTATGTTATTGGAGATTAAGTATCATGTCGGATGAGAACCTTTCGATTATTTGACGACTCTTTATATTTACATCTGCAAATAAGCACTGAATTGGATTGTTTACCGTCTGATATCCCTGTTTGATTTAATTTCCCATCTACTGCAACACCATATGTCGGTTTATTGAGAATTTGACAACTGATCAAACATTGTGGGCCAAAGTCTTCCTCGTTTATAACTTAACAGCAATATGCGTATGATTTTATAAACAGATATAAAAGCTTTTTCTTAACTTGGTTTCATTTGGTAACCATGCGAATAATAATTGAATGTGTGAAAACTTCTGTGTTTAGAAATTAGTGGCAAATTCTGTAGCATATTCAAGGCTCCAAAACTGTAAGATAAATTAAAAATCGATAAAAATTTAGGAAGGTGAAGACAATTTTTAGTGCCATACCATTTAAAACGCTGGGAAAGGTCCTTTATAAAGAATTATATTCCATTCAACGAACCTTTCAGGATTCTACCGATAATGCCATAGCCATTGCTACAAAAATTTGGTTACCTGAATTTTTTCCCCTTTTTATTTTCCGAAGCCGCCTTTTTTTTATATTGACGCATCTTCTAATATTCTCGTGAGAAAGAAGAAAATTTCTTCATATTTGTAACTTAAAAGCCAATTTTAAGCTGTTCCCTCTAGCAGGGAAACTAATTTAGAACTGTTCTAAAAAACATTTTCCTAAATTTTATTATAGAATGTTGGATGGAAATTCAACCATATGCTACCGTCAAAGCATAACAGTGCTGCTTTTAGAAAGGGATGTTTACACACTACATCCCTCTTTTCATCTTTCCCTGTATTCTCTCACAAGTTGAGAAAATTGCTTGGATGATTGAGCTTAAAATATTACTTTCGGTCGGGTATGTTATATGACCATTGGTACTTCTGTCTTTTGTAAACTGCTTCAACGATGAAGTAGAAAACACAGAAATAGCAAATACGTCTAAAAGCTAGAAGGCTTTAATGTCATATAAAAAAAGGGTCGGCCTTGTCTTTATTTACACATTTTCAATTCAAAAAGCTTTCCCTGTTTGAATTTGAATGTTTATAAAACAAGCGATTACAGACGCTCCCATATTGATATCAAAATAACAAAAACTTTTGTAGGTAAATTTTAAGTGAATATGAAATTATATGACAAACTAGGAGTATAAAAAGGACATGGGATGTCAGATTGTGTTCTACATTGCCTAACCATTAACTTTTCATTGCAGATCTTTTGGTATGATTTTCGCAATATCTTTGCATTAACGTTTTTGCATTGCTGGATTGCCAAAGACAGTGCATACAGAGTCCTGGTGAGAGACCTTACTTTGAATTTCACCAATTTTCAGAAAACAATCGCTTTTAATAATTCTATTCTTAAGGTAAAAAAGATCAAATTTGACACGGTTCAGAAGGATCAAAATTGCCTTTTGAAAAGCATTTTTAGCTCTCCCGGCCCCCTTGTATCTGCCGTGGTTATGTTTTAAGCATTTTTGGCAGGAACTAAATATTTTCAAAAAAACTTTGATTCTGTAATATGCATGTAGCCAAAATTTTAGAAATTTGCAATATATATATTTATTTGTGTTAAGGTCACCAAGATATATTTATAAGAACTGATGAACAAATATTTAAAGTTGAAAAGATGAAAAAGGGAAACGTCCGTTTGTTTGAACTTTACTGTTTTAGAGTGAACTTTCCTGCTGCAAACTAAAAATGTAAAGACATCAATTTACTTCATTTTGCTGTTACAGACATGTATTCTTCCCTTTTCAGACGGATTTACATCGAAATAGACTTCAAAACAGATCGGCTGTTTCACAGAAAGTCATGCTAGTTGCATTCAGTGTCATCTGCCTCATCTTTACAAGGTGCGTTTGAATAGATCTACGTATCTTTAGATCTGAATAGACTTATGTGTGAAATAAGTCCTAAGGCTCTATGCCTGAAAGCTGTGACAATTAAACTTCTATTGTTTATATCAGAAATTATTTCTGTAGATCATTGATTCATCAAATTTTTACAGCTTTTTACCATTTTTCTCGTGGTTTAAAACTGTTTGATAAAGTTTGATTCAACGATTCCAGCAAAAAATTTGATCACGAAATTCTTGAGAACAGTTTTCACGTTGATCAGCATATTGTTGAGATCATATTCTTGAGATCTTGGCAAACATTTTGTGCTTAAAGGTAAAAAGATAATTAGGCAGCCTTTCCACTAGCCTGGGTTAAAACATATCCGGGTTAAAAGTTATCCGTTTCTGCGTCGCGTTCCCACTAACCCACTTGAAAAACGGATAAGTTTGAAAAAGGGTCTCAAAGTGGGTCAGTTTTTACCCGGGTATCTTTTGACTCACCTGCGAGTTAATGGAAACGCCGAACCCGGATAACTTTTGATCCACTTGCAACAACAGCAACGTTTAAAAATTGAGACGGCGCCAAAAATCAAAAATGTTGATTCCATTGGCCTACAACGATAGAAATTGAAGGATTTTTGATGCAAATACTGATTTCTCTTACAAATTTTCACCCTGGATACATTTTAACCCGGCTTAGTGGGAACGATCAAAAACGGATTAAAAACGGGTCGAAGAAAAGTGCCGTTTCCATTGACTCACTTTAAAAACGGATAAATTTTATCCCGGGTATGTTTTAACCCAGGCTAGTGGAAAGGCTGCCTTAGAAAATTGATTTTAGAGCAGGACCCACGACACGAATTTGGAAGTGGGGGAGCCAAGGCTGGCAAAAGTAAGGGGCCAAGGCTTCTTTCCCCTTTTACTGCCGCTTTAAAACTACTTGCTTTGCATAAAAGTGGGGAGCCATGGCCACCCTCCCCCTCCCCCGGTGGTGAGGGCCCTGTAGAGCCACTCTTGAAAAAATGCATTCTCGATTCCATTCCTCGATTTCGATTAGATTTCATTGAGTCATTTTCTGAAGGGCCCGACCTCCCTACTTCTTTGTTTGATTTCATAATTTATCTTGGTCATAAACAAAACCTAAGACTCTTGGTTCTTGATTCTAGCATCTGCGGGCTTCAGCAGCTGGAGCGTGCACATGGAAGCTGGACAATGTTCAAGGCACTCTGGTTTGTCGTTGTCACTTTCAGTACTGTTGGTTATGGTGACACTGTTCCAAAAGATACATTGTCAAGAACATGGGTTATGATTATGATTATTCTCGCATTGCTCATCCTCCCAGCAGAGGTAACGCATGCACTTAGATAAACTTTTTTTTACTTACCCCTGAAAATATAATTTCTGAACGAGGATTACAAACGGTGCCAATAGCTATCAACAGCTTTTTATGGAGGACGGTAAAATATTGAAACAGTACAGATATTGCTTTTTTGGTTTTTTGTAATTTTGTATTTGTTGCTACCAAGCTTCCGAAGGTTTAGGACGACAAGAAGTTGTGCTTATCGTGTTCTGGTCCTTCCTCGATGTAATCATACCTAGTGATTCCTATGCCTAGAATAACAGAGCTGTTTTTTCGTTTTACTCAATTTCCTATAAGCTTCTTCTCTTCATCGGATGTTTTTACGTATTTGAAAAGCCTAATCTATGCCCTTTATTGCTTTGACTAATGCCTGAACTGCAATACAAATATGATGTGATCTATTTTCTTTTATTTTTCCTCGCTGACAGTTGGAAGAGCTGGCCTTTCTTCTTGTTTCCAAGCAAAAGGAAGGTGGTGTTTACAGCACTGCGTACGGTGCTGACAGGCACGTTGTTGTGTGTTCGACTGCCCTGAGAGCTAGTACAATGATTGACTTCTTGAATGAGTTTTATGCTGACCCAAAAATGGAGGTTCGTATAAACATGCCTTAGTTAAAGATAATTTAATCTATCTTATGTTTAAAACCATTTTGCTTCATCTTGTATTTGCAATAGTTTTTTGGTATCACAGGCAAGCAAATTGCAAATTTTACTGCAAAACACAAAAGCCATACATTAATTCTATATCCTTATGATCGTTTTTGTGTTATCTTGAGATCTGAACCTACTTCATAATCTATTCTCTTGCGAACAAAAAAATGTAGGGACTAAGCCTATAATAAATATATAAGGACCAAGGTTGAGATACTACAAAGCCACATTTCCTAATCGTGTTCAACCGACATCACCAATTGGTTGTTAAAGTTTACTCTTAACTTGTTGTTACTAGCAATTGTAGCTGAAATTCGATGAAATCATGTCCTTTTCAGCTATGGCAGTTATAGAATTTTTAAGTGTAGATTTTGATTATTTTTAAGTGTTAGAAATGAGACACACTGGCCTTCCTGTATTAAAACTAATGTTAGAAAATCCTAACTCTCTTTGCAGTTATCATATCCTATGTGTGTCATTGTGCAGCTTTTTATATGTGCAGCTTTTCGTCACTGTTAAAAATTGAAGGTGTTTGCTCGAGATCGATTTGACCTCTGTTCTGATGTGGTCCTCAAACATTTTTAGGACGTCCATGTAGTTTTACTTTCACCAGCCGAGTTAGAAAGCAAGCTGCGTATTCTATTGCAAGTACCGTTGTGGGATCAAAGAGTAACATATCTGAAAGGCTCTGCGTTGAATGATCAAGATCTCATCAGAGCAAGGTAACTTTGTCGCTTTTCATTCAACAAATGACTTAACGAACGAGAAATGGTATTTGAAATTCAACAAAGCATTGCAGGGAATTTAATGGATATTTCAGACAAAATTTTGACCATAAAAATTTTTTACATGAAGAATTTTTTTAAAGAATATTAACAGAAACAAGAATGCATCTATTTTATTAAATATTGTAGAAATTTGGCAAACTATTTTAAGAGAATTGTAAAAAAGCATACCTATGAAATCACAACAAACCTTCTGGCTTGAAAATGAAATTTTTTGTGATTGTCTCCTTGCAGATCATCAAACCATTGTATATCATGCCTCTCAATGTTGTCAAATCTGAAATACTGTAGTTTGAAATTTCACTTGAACAAATACTACCCTTGGGTTGTGCTCATTCAAAATTGCTAATTGAACCCATGCATGTTATAAACATTGCTTTTTGGGGTGACTTGTTTGAGGAAGTGACGTGATTTTCGGTGAATCAAATTTAATTACTAAAGCTTTTGATGATTTGAACTAAGAATTATCAGAAAGGAATTATTTTAAAGGGTCATCGATGCAGAGGCCTGCTTCATTCTTACCGACAGGGGAAATCCTGATGTCGATGTTCGGGTAAGAATTGTTTACTTTCTTTATTGTGTATTTTGTTTTTTCCACTTTTGCCACATTTAGACGTAACAACATGTACTTCGTTCCTCTCGTTTATATTATTATGTTGCACTTCTCTTAAAAGATATTGACCAGCACCTATAGCAATTTTATGTCATTGTCAATAGCATCGAGCAGATAAGATCAAAAGCATCGATAATAGAGGAAAGGGCGTATTTGTATCAACACTTGGGAGATACGAACTCCATTAGTATCAAGCTTGAATAAGAACGGAGCATGTATATATATATAATAATAATAAATAATTTGTTTAAAGTTGGCGTACTAAATGAACGGCTGATAGCTATAAAGAAGCTAAATAAGGCCAACTATCTATAAAGAGTTAGTATGAAATAAAAATATATGATACAATATTAAAAAGGTTTAAGGTATAATGTTCTAAATAAAACCTAACCCAGCAATAAATTTTTTACACAATCTACAGTCGCATTCTATAGGGTGTGCTCTTAATTCTTTTTTAAATGTTGCCAATGATTGGGACTCTCTTATACTGTGAGATAGTGTTTGCCACAGTTTTTGACCTAAATATCTCACAGTTTCTATACCATAAGAAGTTGTCCTGGCTTTTGGAATGCAAAGATTATTTTTAGTTCGCAAATCATAATGTACATTTCTTGTTTCAAAAATTTCACTCATGAAACTAGGATTCAGGTTATGTTTCGTTTTGTATATTTCTATCATCAAATACTGTAGATTGCGTTGGTGAATTGATACTGCATTATCCAAAGTCAGCAATGCTTCGTAGTCAGCATTACTGTCTTTATAAACAATTCTGAGTGCTCTGTCGTGGATTTTATTTACTTTAGCATTCAGACATCTGTCATGGAACATCCAAATTAGGGGGCAGTAACTAAACTGAGCTTTTATGAAGCTGTTCATTAGGAGACGCAGTTTATCAGAACCCATAAATGGCGAAACTCTAGCAAGAGCATGCAGTTTTTGGCTGGCTCTTTTGCATAAATTTGAGACGTGACTTTTGAAATTAAGATTTTTATCTATTATCACCCCTAGCAGTTTTTCTTCAGAGCTTTCTTCAACAATGGCCTCACCGATTTTGATCTTAAAGTCATCTTGATTTGTTCCAAAAGTAAGAAGATGACATTTCCCTGCATTCAATTTCATAAAGTTTTCTGGAAACCATTTTGATAAAATAAGAGCATCAGTTTCTAGCCGTTCTAAAACTTTATCTAATTGACAGTCAGCTGCAAAAATCGTAGTATCATCAGCAAAGTTACATACTGCAGTATCAGTTACCATTAAGAATAAATCATTAATATATAAATTAAATAGAAGAGGCCCAAGGACTGATCCTTGTGGTACACCTGCAAAGGTTTTTCGCCAAGTGCTGAATGAACCATTTAATTTTACCCTTTGTCTTCTACCGGACAGGTAATTATAAATCAATAATTGAGCATCTTTACAAAAACCATAGGCATTTAATTTCGCAATTAATAGCTCATGGTCTATGCAATCAAACGCTTTTGAGAGACCCATTAGCAAGGCACCAACCACCCCTTTTTTATCTAGGGAATTCTTGCAAATATCCATTAATCTCAACAGCGCATGCTGTGTGTTGAAACCTTTCCGAAAACCACATAAGTAGGGAACTAGGAACGTATCCGCGAAGTCGACCATCTGAGCATATAGAAGCCGTTCAAAGACCTTTGATAATGCGGATAGAACTGTGATAGGTCGATAGTTTCGTTTTTCTGTAGTTTTGTCACTTTTGAATAGTGGAGTTATGTCTCCTAATTTAAGATCTTCAGGAAACGTTTTCTGGAGCAATGAATTATTGAAAATTGTCGTCAGCAAAGGTGCAAAAATGTCTTCGTTTTCTTTCAGTATCCGCGGAGGAATACTTCAATTGTAGACGCTTTTTTTGTATTTAGTCTCGATAATTCATCATTGACTGCCTGCATTGTAATTGGTTTGAATTCGAAAAATGTAATACAGTGCCGTCAGAACAAATTCATATTGGGAGGGGGGACTGCCCATTGTATCCCTTCTCATTCAGTACACTGTTATAAAGGAAACATACTACAGTTTGCGATTATTGGGGGGTCTCCAGCACCCCCCTCCCCAGCCCCCTGGTTCCGACGGGCCTGTACTATAGTATTCGATTGTCGAAGCAAAAAAATTGGTGAGCTGTTTGAAGATAGAGGACTGACCAAAAGTATATAACACGAAACAATCAGAATTGTTTAGTGGAGTTACTGAAATTGTAGCTTGAGACTAGACGCAAGGATTTTTATTTTCTTGTTGCCAGGACATTTAATGACTGCCCACTGAGTCTAGGAGCATGAAATATAGAACTGTTTTCAGGAAAGCATTAGAAGAGCATTATCCAGCAGCGGTTTTAGGGACTGCGGGGCCCGGGGTCAAAAACATCTGCGGGGCCCTTGTTCTTTACAACCTCTATCTTTTTCCTTTTGATATAGGGCCCCTTTTGGCTACCAATCAATTAATCAATCAATCAATCAATCAATCAATCAATCAATCAATCAATCAATCAATCAATCAATCAATCAATCAATCAATCAATCAATCAATCAATCAATCAATCAATCAAAAACTTTATTAATGTGTCAAAAAATATTTGCCATATATACCATAAGTGCGGGGCTTGGAGTCATGGCCCTCTCGAGCCCCCTTAAAACCGCCACTGGCTATATCTCAAATTATCTTAATGATTTTACTGTTTTTAAGATGTTTCTTTTCATTTAACTTTAGTACAGGACTCTAGTGATAGCAGTGCAGTTTTACACTGATAGATTATCCTGTATAAAAATTCGATTTACTTTTTTATCATTTTTCATTAGTATGCAGGTTTTTCAACTTTATGAACTTGTCTTCTAGGACCATCAGACAATCGTAAGGACTTGGGCTATTCAAGACTTTGCACCAGCAACTCCACTTTACGTTCAAATTCACAAACCAGAAAACAAATTTCACGTCACTTTTGCAGGTAAGAATAATGGCCAAAATGTTGGAAAATAGCTTAGCGTACAAGGCATCATGTATCCAACGCCTTTAACTGGATTTCACAATTTCATCGCTCGTGACACAAGATATAGAATAATACTCCTTCCCAATTGTGGCACCAGCCAATAGGCTCGGGGGGGACAAGAAAAGCAGGTCACGCCCTTTTTAGCACCAGAAAACGCTCTTTTACCAACAAGGAACTTCAATTTTACCTGAAAGGAACGCTCATGACTAACTTTAGGGTTCGTAAAGACAGTTTGAAAACTATAGAATTTCATCACAAAAAGTACATTGGCAAATTATTTCTCTTCCCAAAATATTTTCTTATTGAATTTAGACGTAATAGAAAATTGATCCTGTCGAGTACTGGGGAGGGGATGTGTCAACACTTCATCGCTTTAAAAAGTCTCCAGTATATTTCAGTATATTTCATAAAAAATAGCAACCAGTGATTGTGGCTGTGATTTTTTTCAAGTTTGATCATTGGCCTAATGAATATTTATGAATATTAAACAGAAAAAGATAAAATAAATGCATAATAAACTTAAATGAATTTAATTACTCATATAAATTTATCTTGTCAAAACAATACTGTCTTTTACAATACAAAAGTGAAAGTCCTTTACAATACAAAGTTGAATTGATAGTCTTTTTATAGAAGGCTGGGTTTTTAGAATCATTAATGAGGCGAATATCTACACAGATATTTTACGTCAGAAATATTTATCACACTTTTGTTATGATTATGCACCTGAATAAATAACATCTAATGCTTTTTGTATTCTTGTTGTCCACGTTTATGTTACCTTTTTTTCAAACTCTGTCATCATTTTCTGTTAATTGCTGAGTTCAAATGATTTTTTCATTTACTTATGACCAGCAAAATCCTCTGCCCCTCTAGAGCATGTGGTCTGCGAAGACGAGATTAAAAATGCATTGCTGGCATCAAATTGTATTTGTCCTGGCATATCAACTCTGGTGACGCTTCTTTTACACACATTGCGGGAGCAGTATGTACCCTTATTTCAACTTTCAGTCTTTGCAACCATGATTATATTAAGTGAAATATTTTCTATGTGATTATATATAATGACCTGGTAAAGAGTGGGCGGTGTGTGTGAGAGGCGTGGCTTTGGGCTTGGTTTTTAATATGTGACCTGGTAGCTCAATTGACCTGCACAAACGACGAACAAAGAAGCTGCTTGCAGGTTCTAGTCCTCAATGGGTGTGATGATGATTGTAAAGACTTACTTGGGTGCCTTAAAAGTCAGTAGAAATTTGTTGCGTCTGCTGTTCGTTCTTTCAATTGATCATGGTGATGCTGTTAAAAAAGGGACCTTATAATTAATAAATTAAACTTCTCAGACTACTAGCAAAGTTTTTGAGAACACCTGTATGACATTTTTATAACCAAAATAATGAAAAAGGACAAATTTTAAACATTTTTTACTTCAAATTTTTAATATGTCCCCTTCTCTGATAAGCTTCTTCTCTTTCTAACCTCCCTCTCTTTGAAGCTCCCCTCTAGGATTGTAACAAAATTAGCTAAGCCACCCCCCCCCCCTCTCGGTGGTTTAATAGAGCTTTTACGGTATTTGGATGTGGTTTTGGGTGTGGCTTCTATAAGTTGCCTACAATGTAACACAGACTTCCTTCCAAACTGTAGGACGGCAGCCCTGTGCTTGAATTGTTGATACTCCTACAAAAACATCAACACTTTTGCCTGGTTTATCTAAGTCTTTAATTTACCTGGTTTGTCTAAGTCATTTTCGATCTATGTTGCAGTCATTTATTCATGTTTCACAGCTTTAATCGTGCTGGAAATTAAGAACAGAAATACCTTTAAGGCTCATTAGTAGTTAAAGTTGATTTTCTTTCGTCGAAGAAGCTTTGTGTTCTTCTCTTTGCGGTATCATACCGTGTTTTTGCCATGGAAAAGTTTATCTCACTGAAGTTGTTCCGTATTTCAGAAAAGGAACTTCATCTGATGTCTGTGAAAATATCTATGGAAGAAGCGCAGGAAATGAAATCTACGATATCCGACTTGGAGACAGTAAAATGTTTCGAAGATTTGCTTATAAAAGTTTTACATATGCGGCATATAATGCTTTTAAAAGGTACTTAATGATATTATCAAGGAAATCATCTTTGACTAATTATCTGCCAAAATTTTATGGTAAAATTACTAATTCGCTTTCTCTTTGCCATCCGAATATTTCGACATTTTGAAATTTCGAATGTTCAATAAGGGATCTAAAAGCACATTTCTTGATTATCTTGATTCTTAATGAATGTTGCTTTTTGCCTTTGCTTTCACTTTTTCATGCTGTTCGGGAAACTCCTGATTTTAAAGGAGAAGAAGGCCTGTTCATTGAAATGTTGGTTCAATTCGAATCGTGTATATTGAGGGTACAACATAAATTTAATGATTAAAATGGGATATTTTAGATTGATTGATTGATTGATTGATGTTTTGTTGGCTGAAAATGAGCTACTAATAAGATGATGCAACACAAAAATTTATCATGTTATATGATGTTATGAAATATTACACAACATGATACTATACGATCCATTGCAATGTGATACAATTCAACGCAATGCGATACCATACCATACCATACCATACCATACCATACCATACCATACCATACCATACCATACCATACCATACCATACCATACCATACCATACCATACCATACCATACCATACCATACCATACCATTCCATACCATACCATACCATACCATACCATACCATACCATACCATACCATACCATACCATACCATGCCATGCCATACCATGCCATACCATACCATACCATACCATACCATGCCATACCATACCATACCATACCATACCATACCATACCATACCATACCATACCATACCATACCATACCATACCATATACCATACCCTATCATACTTTACCATACCATACCATACCATACCATGCCATACCTTACCATACCATACCATACTTTACCATACCCTATCATACTATACCATACCATACCATACTATACCATACCATAACATACCATAGCATACCATAGCATACCATACCATACCATACCATACCATACCATACCATACCATACCATATCATACTATACCATACCATACTATACCAGACTATACCAGGCCATGCCATGCCAGCCATACCATACCATACCATAGCATGCCATACCATACCATACCATACCATACCATACCATACCATAGCATAGCATACCATACCATACCATACCATACCATACCATACCATACCATACCATACCAGACTATGCCATGCCATGCCAGCCATACCATACCATAGCATACCATACCATAGCATACCATACCATAGCATACCATACCATAGCATACCATACCATAGCATACCATACCATACCATACCATACCATACCATACCATACCATACCATACCATACCATACCATACCATACCATATCATATCATATCATATCATATCATATCATATCATATCATATCATATCATATCATATCATATATCATATCATATCATATCATACCATATCATACCATTGCTGAAATTGATGCTGAATATGGTAGCGAAAGAGGGCTTTGCCAGTTTTCTCAGCAGAGTTAGGTATAGACTCTTGAGATTGATGTAACTTTTCATGTTTATAATCGCAGTATTTTATTTGCCTCTAAGGTTTGGTGTAACATTGATCGGTGTACGAAGAGAACCAAAAGAGTCACAGATATTTCTTAATCCTGGCCCAAGCTTCAAACTAGCATACGATGATACCTTGTTCTACATTGCAATAACATCGGAAGAAGACATGGCCCTAGAAGAGCTTACTAAACACTCGAAGAAAGGAAAGTACCAAAGCTCTCTCAAAAGCGATGATGGAAAGAAGAGTCGCAAACTAACGAGGCAGAGTGAGTGGGGAAGCTTCATATCAGTCATCGACAATAGCGAGGATGATAAAGGTATAGAACAGAGTGAGTCTAGCATGATTCATCAAATTCATAAGGCTTTCAGCTTTTCATATTAGTTGACACTCTTATCAAATTTCAGGAGGATTTAGAAAACTGCCAGTCCAACAATAAATCAGTACAGATCTTTTACTCATTAGTACCCTTCAATCAAGGTTGAAGGTCAATGATTGTTCTAGGACTAATGAAGCTTGATTTTTTTTATCTTAATTGTATTCGGGATGAACATAATCATCTATTTTCGTCATCTAACATTTGAACCACTGATGATAAAGGGCCAATAACCATGTTTTAGATAATTGTGGGTCAGAATCAAAAGTTTTTAAAGCCGCGCCTATTTTCCCGGAATACTTCCCATTTTTTCGCGGTAACGCCCCTCTATTGATCAATTAGGTTTTATAAGTGGGCTTTTTTGGAATGAATGCCTTTTGCACGAAGAGGGGAAAGATTAACCTTAAAGTATTTCTCCAAAGTCAAAATTGAAAAATATTACTTGGTTAAAAAGGAATTTTATTCTAGAAGCTTTTGAACAAAAGTAGGAAAATCCATCTTGAGTTTTTTAGAGTTATATAACGAGACGAAAGCATCGTTACCAGATGTTTTACGTTTAAGAAAATACAGAAAGTTCCAAATAGTACAAAACAAAATCTTGTATTGCTCATCGGAAATGACATTGATTATATAATTATAACAACAACCATTTTCTTCAGAATTATATCATAACAGTCTCATAAGCAAAAAAGCTGCAAATTCACCCAAATTTACAAACAAATAGATGGATTTTATTGGAAGGAGTACATGAGCTTCGACTGCCATGTCCTCTTCCTACAAACCTGAAAAACGTGTATGTTTGGGAAATTTGTATGATTTTTTCATGTTTGGATCTTATCTAAACATTCGATTTCAAACTATCACCTTTTTTAATAATTGTCCATAAGGATCCGAACCCTAAAAACTTAAGAAACAATTTTACTGATTATTCTCAACATATAGAAAAAGCTCAAAAATGTTTTTAAACATGAGATTGAAACTTCTGGCTCTATTTCTTGCTATTTCAGAGAATAGTTTCTAATATTAAAAAATGCCTGTTTCTTCCATGTTTCTCATTTTTCTGCTTTATATGCTGATTGACTGCAGTCGATGCTTCTTTTGCATCAAATCACCCACCACTTCTATATAATCATGCAACATTTTCAGCCCTAGCTACTTTAGATGATGAGCAGATGGTGCTAGGTTACATAACTTAGAAATTCTTGTTTTGATGAATCCTGTTTTAACAACGTTTTTATTTTTGACCTAACCTTCACAGTAATCGTCACACTAACTCCACATTTCCGGGTAAAATATCTCCAAAATTCTCCTTTTTTAAAGAAATGGAAATATAATTAGTCAGTTATCCAACATGATGTCTCCAACAGTATTTGATTTGCTGCACAATTGCACAATCAATTTCCGTATAGTGCAACAAGATATAACATTATGAATAGAACTTTTCTATGAATTTTTAATTAGCAGGATGAAAAATGTCGGCAGATGTAAATAGCATCTTGCCTACATAACCTATTACCATTTGCTTTACAACTGAGCTACAACACTATTTCGGGCAAACACAATTTAGCATTTATCGCTATGAAAAGTGCCTGCTTAAAAAATCCGAGTTTTCTCATTTATTTTGTTCACTGACCCTGTCAATTCATGTATATCAAACTTCCTTTAATGTAGACCTAAGCGGGTAAAGACAGCAAACTCAATTCTAAGATCAAATTGAACTTTATAATCTGAAGCAATATTCCAATATTCCTATATGTTAATAAATCTCACTGAATATTGAAGTATCATCACCTCCTTCCCCTTTATAACTCTACAAAATCTAATGACTGCTATTAGATGATAACAAGAGACATTATAGAAAATATGAAACTGTTTTTCTCTATTTCTGGTGCATATGAGTGTTGGATATCTTTCAAGTTTCTGAAAATCTAGGTAAAAATCTGATAAAGGGAACATTCACCTTTCTCATAGCACAGATAAATGCACAGAAATTATCCGTACGAGAGCATTAGAAGAGAAACAATACTGAAATCTGCATGACTTTCAATTTTCGCAAAGCAGGTACCCGTTCAAAAATTTTGCATACGTCTAGAAAGAAAACTGCTTTTAACAAGTTCTACCATGCATGAACATTAAATATTTTTTTAGATATCGAGCTTAAACCAGCACCACCAAGTCCAAATGGTTCCGTGCTACACAGCAAAGACTCTCCGATTGCAGCTTCTATTATTGATATCAATGTTTCAAATGCGGGTGATTTCAATGAAATACCGGCTTCGGATTTCTCTGATCAGTCCAGTGACAATGATGTTCAAGAGTTAAATGTTCCCATTCAAAACATCCCAAAGTAAGTCGGAAAAACATACTGATCACATTTATTCCGTACACATTGATTTTTAAATTAGTGCATCACAAATATTCTTCTAGGTAAAAGAGTACCATAGGGTCTCGTCATCAATCAGATATTCCTGTGACTTTACCTTCAAAACAACATGACTATAAAGAACATCATAAAAAACTTTCCTATTGACTACATAATCATAAAGAACACTGCGAAATACCTCTAGAAATGCGAAGTCAATTGAATCGGTTGCAAATAGCCATGCTAATTTACTCATTTTTCTTTAAGAAATTGGATGTTATGAACTTTCATTTCTTTTTTCAGCTACATAATTGGGGTACCCCCGATAACACCGTATGTTGGAAGATCACCCTTAAAATGTCATCTTCTACCGGAACCAAAACCGTTTTGCTGTATGGAACTAAATAAGGTATTTCGTTGGAAATAATACAATATTTTGTTTTTCACTTCTTTACGGCAAAGAGTTACATTTAACTTTTCAAACTGAAACTTTCTGTTGGTCGGCTTAAATTCAAATTCATAACTTTTGAAATATTTCAACGTGATGCTAGAAGAATTTTCATGAATGAAAAATTTATAGACTTTGTTATGATGTCGCATTTCTCTTTCATAATGTTTTGAAAATTGATACTCTAATGTATTTATATTTCCGCTAAATGTTGGCAAATTCAGAAAAAAGCTTGTTTTTCAAGAATCAATGAATACAAATAAAAAAAACAGTCCACTTAAACTTTTTCTAAATACCCAAAATGGGCAATTAAAGGTTTGAATTGTCAAATACTGTTGTTTTTGGTCACACTGGAAGAAATTCAAAAGTGAAACACACAGCATACGCCTTTCTTATTTAGCCTTGCACAAAACAACACAAGCTGCAAGACAGAGACGATAGAGCGAAAAACTTGACTGGTGGGGTCATTGTAGCCTGTCCGAGAGCTGGAGCGGGTCTCTACAACTTCATTCTTCCGCTGAGAGCATATCATCAACCAAAATGTTATCTAAAACCATTGATTATACTTTTAAACGAGCGGTAAGTACCAAACTTTGACTGAAACTCGTTACATAAAGACATAAAGTAGGCCTGTTATTTAAAGGGTGTCGTAACTACGTAAAATTGTTTCAATTCTTTTCCGTAGGCCTTCACCTGCTTTTTACGAAGCTGTTTGTTCATTTCCTCTTTTGTACTTTATGATTGGATCATTTAAAAAGTAAGTATTTTTGCCACAATTTTCTTGAGTATACGAAAAATCTTTTATAGCGTTGTTTATATATTATCTTAAGCCCTTACTTTTTGCTCACGATAAGATACGATAACAAATGGGTGGCAATAGTGATTCTCTTTCATAAGACTACTTGCCCTGGCTTTCGTATGTTAGGCAACCCACTTTTCGAAAAAAACTACGAAAATGGTGTATTACTCTGGCATTTTAGTTTTTTTTATAGATTTCAGAACCACTGCAAAATCGTGTTTCAAAAGAGAGAGAATATTTGCGGACAAGCCGTCGTAAACACTTAATTTCCATAAAGTTGTTTTTTGTCAATTTCTTGTCGATAAATAGACGAACTTGATCTTTGCTTATGGATTAAACTTAAAGATAATCTGAATTTGCCTTTGTCCCTCTGCGCTCTAAACAATAAAGTTCCGAGATCTTGATGTCCATAAAATATCTTTTTGGAATTTTCAAATTTTGACGACATTAAGTAAAAGAGCTCTGTGAAAAAGCTTGTAGCAGATTTTGTGCAAATTACCTGAGTTAAGTTCACATGAGCACAGCTCTTCCTCGTCATGTCGCTGTAATTTGGATTGGAAATTTACATTTTGCACTTCTACTAGGGGTATTTTGGGCGCTTTTCAGGTGATGTCCTCAAAATATAATAAAAATGCACATTTTGTGATGCGGCTTTTTTAAAATCTTCTGCTCGATACGCAATTTAAAAAACAGCAACAAAGCATGTGCTATTACAAAGACATATATCGTCTCAAGAATCATGTTTCTTTTACAGTATAGACGACTTACTTCAAGCTGGCATATTGGAATCAGACACTGTTGTGATAACTGATCAGCTACAATCCATGGAAGGAATTTTCTCCGACGAAGAATACATGGCAGATGCTTACACGATTGTAGGAGTACAAACTATATATAGGCATGTATTGTTGTGTTTAGGTATTATCCATTTAAGTTTGGGTATTATCCTCGTGTGTTATTCGAAGAAAATAGTAGCACGTGATATGTGCAAGGTTGCAAGTCAACCTCGTATAGAAAAAAGTGCATACACGTGATTGGTCATAGCAAAGGTCATTCTGCCATATAAAGTATTAGCGGAAACACATGATAGATCAGATAGCATTAACTGTATAATATGTTATTAGACGTTTTGTTCGTGTACGTATTTGCAAATGCACAACAAGCTGGATACCCATATCACGTCTGTGACGTATTTATATCCGTTGTGCACTTATGTATTCATAATCTCTATCTAAGTTTTGAATACATAAGTGCACGACAGAAACAAACGCTAGAAAATATTTCTCCTTATAATACAACTTTGCAACTTTTTGCAACGCTCTGGATTCCATTGTAATAGAATGTGTTTGTTCTTGCCTAGTTAATAGAAAGAAATTGAATGTTATAAGGTATAGAGCTGGAAAAAAGATACTATCTTTGCATGTTCATTAAAATTTAACGATTTGCCTTTTTAATGAGTTAACGATTTGCTTTTTTGATTGAGCTGAAATGATGAATGTAACTAGACTTTGTTTCAATTTATTCACAGGCTGTTTCCGAATGTTGGCTTGATCGTTGAGCTCACACATTCTAGTAACATGAAATTTATGAAATTTGACGTACCAACTATCCCACCGCAAGTGACTGGTTTGTCCAACAAGGAAAGCTTGCGAAATACAATTAAGGTGAGTTTACAAAACTAAAGCATATTTAAGATTGAGACTTCAGAGGTTCAAAATATAGTCTGAACATTTTTTCGGGACTCAAAAACCAACATCAATCGTTATTTGGGATTTGTCGCTGATTCTTATCTGTGTGTAGGACTAATTTCCAAATTGATACAAAGTTGCTGCTTTTATTTTGCTGCTCAGTGATTTCCTCATACTGTCTTGCTGCACCCACCATCCCTTGAAGCTTCTCCTCCTTAGCAGATCAACCTGTTTTTAAATTTGTATTGTAACGGTCGTTTATAAATTGAATACGATACGGCATTTCTAAATAAATCTTGGATTGCACCCAAAACGATTTTATTCTGCGCTTAGATCATTTTTAAGTATATAAGTACTAGACCAATGATTGCTTTTGGAGATCCGAAGAGAAAATAAACTCTTTCTACCCTAAAACACTTTTGTGAAAGCAGATTCTAAAGTATACAAATATGAGTCAGCCTTGCTTGACCTATAACCCCTAGCCTCTCCTCTGAAAAGGTTTGTCTCGCTCTGGTATAGATAAAATACCTCAATCCCTTTCTATTTGTTATTTTCAAGTATAGACTGATCACAAACATTATCTTCTTGACGAGTTGTCACTTATACGATTTATTCTGCATGTTTACAGTTAAGGACAAGAGAGATGAAATCACGAAATGATCACCTCGATTATTTGTTCAGAGGTCCTTTTGCTGCCGGAAATGTTTTTAGTGCCAGCATGATCGATACCTTATTATATCAAGTAAGTATACAAGTGCTGTTTTACTGCTTGTTTATAAACTGATACCCTAATCTTATTTGACAAAAGTTGATTTTAGAAGAACTGAAATATTTAGGTTTTGGATATAAAAAATTTTAGGCTGATGAATGGAAAGTACAAAGTCGCTTTTCCCAGAGATGGCCTAAAGCATTTTTTTAATTCAGTTTTTCAAAGCATTTTATTATAATTGCTAACTACGAAGAATGTTTTACAATTTAAAGCGTTCCTCTAACATTACCACTTTGTGTAAATGCTTAATGTGATGCTACAGATTGCACTGTAGTATAAACACGTTGGTGTGGTGACCTTTTTTCCAAATGCTAAGCCTTTCGTCCGGCTTTAAATATGCTTCAATTTGAAGTATGTACACTAAAGTGATGACATCAAATAGAAGAACAGAGCTAGATGAGCAAAGTATTAATGTTTAGAAGCGACCCTGAATTTTTTTCTAAGATTGTAACTTTACTTTCGACGTAAATACTTCTCGTTGAATTGCTTTAAGAACATTACTCAATGTTTTCTTTTAGACGTTTATGAAAGATTATATGATAACACTAATAGCCCTTTTACTTGGATGCGAACAAAACGCAGGGTCTGGGTATCTTGCATCGGTAAGTTATAGCAACAAACATTTCCTAGAAATTCCATAAAATTCGTATTTCATTTCATTCCGGGAAAGTGATGCAAAAATTGCAAAGAATTCCGTAATATCATATTCCATTCGTTCCATAATTCCAAAAAATCGATGAATCTAAATGTTTCTATATCAATCTATTTTGTTATGCTGTTTCAAATGAAAAATGACTGAAGTAATGGCAATTTTCTTAGTATACCAAACTGTTTTCGTGCCATGATCTTTTATAGAAATAGCTAATAGCCTGATGAGATAACCATAAATTCTACATCATCTAAGATTGCTTACTAAAAACATTTTCTTGAATGTTGCAGGTATCAATAACTGACAATAACATATGGATAAAGAGTTACGGCCGTCTATTTCAACGGCTTTGTACAACTAACTATGATATCCCAATTGGGTTATACCGGCATATAACTGTAAGTCAATATCAACAACAGATAATATCAATGTATGCTGTTTATTTTATTCTCTTTGAATTAGAACAATACAGTTCGGAATTTCATAGCTCATGTGTGAAATTTGCATCCGTCAAAGTGTAAACCTTGCTGTTGCTAGAACGTTCACAATCTTAAAAATATCCCAAACTTTTCTATTTTCTTCATTAGACAAGTTCTAAATTTAGATTATTTGTTCATTTGAATATGTGATTATATTTGCTATGGTACAAAGTTAAGCTCTATTTAAGACAAAGTAATTCTTTAATTGCGCAAAAAAATTTCTAAAATATCAACACATCGATAACTTAGATATTTTATGTTATCATTTATAATTATAATATGTACAAATCTACTTTGATTAAATATACTTTAATGAATTACACTTAAATCAAGATTCAAGGTAGAGAGATTTCGGTTTGTTTTTAAATGAATAAATCGATGCAAGCTATTTGGTAACCTCGAATTAAACCATAAGCAACAAGTACCTAATGTCCTTTATACCTTCATTTTACACATCAGTCAATGTGATGAAAATAGCATTATGATTAACAATTCGGCCAACAGTCCATGGCTATAGATATCTAGCTGGATAAATATCATATACCATCTTGAATGATAATTTTATTCGCCAACAGGCTTCGTTAAGTATATAGTAGATATATCATTTTTCGTCTATAGTTTCTAATTTATTATTGCAAAATTTATTATTTCTAGGGTAGCTCAACCACACAAACCAGTGACAAAATACCTGAAAGCAGAGATATTTATGGGATAGTAACAAATCGTATGAAGCGGTTAGGATTACGGGGGAAGCGTAAGTACCTTTTTATTTGATTTTAAACATATTTACCGTAGGATACAACTCAGTTAGATAATTTGGCAACTGCTTTTCAGTTGTCCCAGCAAAAGAAATAAACTTAACCATTAAAGATGAAAACCTGTTTTAAATAATTTGATAGAAAGTAGCTACTAAAAGTGATAAGTAAAGTTTAAAATGCAGATCAGCTTTCCTTGAATAGAGCTTTTAGTTTCGTTTTTAATCACAGGATCGAAGGAACTAATTTCATTTCTGAGGCAAGTCAATTGCATGCATTGGCTGCTCGAAACACAAATGATTTTTGGCCTTAAGTAGTTCAAAAATTTGGTATTCCACGATTACATTTTGCATTACGTAATACCCTGGTATGAATATTATTTTGGTATGCAAGGTCCATTGAGGATTTAAATACTATTGTACATGCTTTTCGATTAATCAGTTTCTCAAAGTATAGAAACATATTTCCTGCTTTGCCCTTGGGATTGTTTGCTGTGCCCTTGGGGTTGCTTGTTTCTTGATAATTATCCCCAACGTAACTTAAAATGCACCCCAAAAACCATCCACTGAACCTTTCTTGACATACATACTATCTATCTCATACCACAATTATATCTCGCAATTATGAACCCCGCTTATCACGAACTTCTCGTTGTTACAAACTAAAAGTCTGTTCTCTTTGATATCTCCATGCATAGATAACAACTCTCGATTTAACGAACTTCCACTATTAAGAACATTTCTTTTGATCGGTACAGAAGCCGCTAAAGAGTTCATACTTCCACTCCATATCATATGTACTTCAACATCGTTTTCGTCGTATGCGTCACACTTTTTCCCTGTTCCTATTGAAGGCTCAAATTACACATTAAAAAGTAAATGATTTTAGCCTGAATATAGATTCACGCCCAAGTCTCTTTCGCAAAGAGCGCAATGGAAAATTAATCCCCTCCAGTATTTGTTTTGTATCAACGTTAACTGCACTTGTAACAAGAAGGCTATTCATCAATGTCCTTGCTTGATACACTCTAAAGGTGTAGTGTTATTCAATATTGGTATTTGGTTAGTAAAAAGTAATTGAACGATATTTCTCATTACTTCAGATGATTTGTTCACACGACAAGGCAAATCTTACTCCCTGGTTAATCCCCCTCCTGATTTTGAGCTTGAAACAGGTGATATTGTGTAAGTACATTCATATTCCTTTTGTCTTTCTTCCTTGCCATTTTATCCATATAGATAATTTGATAAATTCGAGTATTCTTAAAACTCTGTTCAAACTATTCAAACGATCTATTTATTATGCTACATTCAGTCACTCATTTGTTGGTAACAACATCACTACGTACATCAGTAAAATGTTTAACAAGAGTCAATTTCTCAAGCTCATCCTAGACAACTTGTTGAACTGGGCCTGTGTCAATATGTGATATCATTCTGTTCAGATAAATTTCTTAAATTCTATCCTAATTTTAGATGATAACTGGTACAGTTTCACCTTGTATATTGGTATCGTATTTTTCTCGCCAATCTAGATACATCATAAGGAGATCTCCGTCGATGACTTCAGTTCACAATGACTTGAGTCCCGATGACGTGGCCACGGCTACAACTGCTCTCTAAAATTCTCCAAGTCGATGAAAATGTTTCAAGACGTGCCCTTCAAGAAAGGAAACATGAAAATGATTTTCTATCATCTGAGAAGCCCAAAAGAGCTTGTCCTTTTGGTAAATTGGAGGGGATAAACGACTCAGTAGAAGGTCTATGACCACAGTGTATTAACCCCTTCCTTTTTCCAATTTTTGTTCGACCGAAGATGCCCCAAAAGTCCACAGCTGCAGTTCTGAGTAGCTCAGACAATTGGTAAAGGCACCAGCTGCTGTGTAACGGGGATTGAAAAATTGGTTTAAGCCTTATAAAATCTTTAGACCACGGTCTTTGTATTATTCTGCTAGGTAAACATTGAAAGGGATACCGGTCCTTCCTCAATTCATTTTAGTCAATCTATAGAAGATTGGTGTAGATCTGTGTTGAAAAAGTAGACAAGGAGCAGATGCAAAGGAATCTGCCTTGTTGGTCCTTGAATACAGCTTTGTTAGGCATACATGGGGTAGTAAAGGCTCATCTATAAAATGTTTTAGCTACTTATCTTTAGACACCCATGTACATCATTTCATTTGACAGCATGCTGTAGTACCTATTTAATACTCTTAAAACTCAGCTACGATTGTCTAGGAAACAACAAACAATAAAATGTTTCTCTAAACACTCAAACTCTCTTGCTGGTATGACCTCACTAAAAATATTAAGGACCTAGAGAGAAATTTATTTTACTGTGCGCGAAAGCCTGCGGTGCAGGCTCATTGTCAACAATTAAATGTCATTAAAATTTCCATATTGGAAAGAGACGGTCAGATAATTATATATCTCTTAATTATTTAGCTGTTTGCTGAGAGAAACTTAGGCAATGTGAATAACGTTAAGATTTGTCTTCTTGACATCGAAAAAGATGACTCAAACGACCCGAATCTTTTTCCACAAGAGCCATACAATCTTTGTAATACGCTTTGCTTGCGGTAGGAAATTATCTTGCCAAAAGTTGGAGTGATGATGGGTGGTAATGTTGGTGAAACTCCACTTTAACAAGGTATGCCCTCTCAAAGAAACAAGGTAAAGAATTAAAGACTTAAGGTATTAAAGATTTTTGTCAGAAAATTCAGTTTGCTCACCCTGAGACACTGATCATGTAGTGTTGCTTATCATCATGATAGCTTTATCTCGTAAATACCAAATTACTTTTCATAAATTCAGAACTCTATGAAAACATTCAGTTACTAAATTATTTATAGAATTATCGAATTATCAGCCTATTTAGGTGCTGTATAATGACAGTTTTTGTTACTGGACAACATTTGTTTACACACCCATATTGTAATTATTAGAGTAAACATTGTTTATTTACTTAAGGACATTGATAGTATTTATTGAAGGCATTGTAAATGCAGATGATGAATTATTTGAAAGGTATTTCTTCTGTAATATATAGTGATATATACTTGTCAGAATAGACTGTAAATAGAGATTCTTTACTGCATTTTTTGTCTTAAGGCCATTAAACAATCAGCGCTGGAGTTTTGCTATAGGCACTCTGCAGTATTTACTGCTGTATTTTCTTTCGTGAAGAATATGATTAACACAAGTGCTAATCTTAGCACCCTAGTTAATCCTAACCGTTTTAAGGTCAGCAATGTTGTCATAGAGAGGATGTGTGTCGAAAATTGGGATTCGAAACTATATCGTCAAAATCTACAACATATAGAAAGAACGGTTTTAATAACAGGAGTGAAAAGATTCACAGTTCTAATGGAATTCAATTCGGAATGCTCACTTCCCTGTCTGACTTTATCTTTTTTCTCTGCAAAAAGGAGGAAGCGGAGGTTAGAAAGAAAATGCATTGTAAAAGCTTTCCCTTTTTGTCAACCATTTAACAGATTCAGCTATGGAGTCAAGGGGCTTGGGACTTAGAGTTAAAAGTGCCTTTTAGAGATGTGACGCCATCCTGCGAGTTTCCATCGTCTTACAACACCAAGGAATTTCCAAATACAGCTTTAAGACGCAATCTGTAAACCTGAGACGCCAGAAGCTGCAGTTCGAATCCCTTTACCACAACTGGAAATCACGTGATGTGGAAGGCTTCCAGTGACTGGTATCGAAAGAAGGGGCCACGTAACGGTTTGATAAGCAGACAAATGCTTTTTATGAGAAGCCACTTTAAGGCACTGAGACAGCCGAGTACCTAAAATCTCTTAATGTTACGGCAGCATTGTTAAAAAATTTTTCACATTCTTCATATTCAGATGAACAAGATAATGTTGTTTTCTGTCGTGCAAGCAAGAAAATAATTTTTTCTTTGTCACTAAAACTTAGCTTCTAATTTTATTCATAAAGTAAGATTGCATTATTGATAGAGTGAAATAGTCGAATTTTGGCAAATCTCTCCAATCTAAGAATCTTAACGAACTTTTAATTCTTAATTTTTATGAAAATTAAGAAAGTTTCGGTACAAAGAACTTTTTAAATTTCTTTTTAAAATTCTTTTCAAGTGTCCTAAATTCTCCCTTTATAAATTATTTCATTAATAAAAAAGTACGTATATGAAACAGCACTTTATTTTTCGTTGCTCTTGTACATCTGATCTAGATAGGGTACTTGCAAAATCTGCACTTTCATTAACAGCTTCGTTCTTTGAACCTTTCTTTTTATATGCTTTATATATGCTCTAAAAAGGCCTCGCAAAACGTCTGCAAACTTCAAGTTTATCTAGTATACTTGTTGATAATATAGATTTAACCGGAAGAAATAATGTATTCATTTCCAAATCTAGATAATCATTCCTCGAACAATGAAACAATTCCTAAGTTGGTCTTTCGATAATTTTTTCTTGGCAAACAGCATTGGCAAAGAAAAAGGGAATTATGAGGTCAAGCAAAAGTCATTGTTAAATATAATAGGAAAATGAATGATTTCAGTTCATGTTTACTGGAAACTGATAACAAATCTATGCGAAGTTCAGTGAATTTGCAAGACTCTGTATAAGTGTTTGTTGAATGCCTGTTAGCATGGCTAATTAACCACTGGCTAATGATATAAGGTTATAGGGTGGTCAGACCTGTATCGCATCACCAGTTCCAAGAGCAAACATGTTCAGTGAAAAGTTAGGCAGGCTCGCGCCAATCAACGGATGAATAGAACAGAACAACGACAAAGCAAAAACTTTGAACAAGAACTTACAAATCCTTCTGTCATCTGCAATGCTACATGACTAGGCCACTTTATGGAAAGCGATGAACTATCAGAGATAAATCAAATGAGCAAGAACAAGAAAAAATAAAGGTAAGTGCAGCATGTTTGGCAATCGTTTGATATTGTGGAAACTTTTGATCTTCACTAGATATAGTATTTATGAGTATAAACTTCCACACAAATCATGGAATCCATTTTTGATTGCATTGCGCTGTAGTGCTGTTGCAAGACAAAATGCATATTGCGCAAAGATGTAGTTTCTAGTCTAGTTATAATGGCGAAGGCGAATTTGGAAATTTAAACCACGGCAACCTCGATGGAGTTCTGTCACTCTCAAAAATTTTTTGCTTACAATCATATTTCTGTTTCTGTAATCAATAGTATTTTTTGCTACTTTCATCTTTCACTTCGGTTTATAGTCTCTACATTGAATTTGAAGAAGGTTAAGAAGAAATAGCACTTAACTTGAAATTTGGAAAGCAGCAAAAATGCATTTCTTGTTTGTTTTCTGTACACCTTGCACCAGCACGCGTGATTGCGTAAATCTTCACCCATCTAAGTCAAGTGTTGCCTGTTTTGAGAAAGTTTCCTCCGCTCAAATTTTGTAATTTTTCTTCCTATTTTTGTGGTTGCTTTGTTTAATTAACGTTATAGTTTAGATCAGATTTGAATGCAGCCCTGATAAACGAAGGTAACAACATCAGTTTTTAGTAAAGAATAAAATATTTCACTCAAATTGCTGAATTGTTTTTTCTTGAGGGGGCAAAGTCCCTGGTTCCCCTATGTCTCGGTCCTTGGTATAGCCGAGTAGGTACAGCTATTTTTGAAAAAGTATTTTTGATCAGGATCTTAAGAAACTTCGTCATGATCTAGCAACTTATACTAATGTCTTTATAGGTTCGAATATCGTCAGATACAGGAGATCAAGCAGAAGTAAAACAGTTTTTTCCGTCAAGATTCAAATCATTTATTCTTTTTTTTGATGTTCCTTCTCGATCAAAATTCCCCCTATCTATCAATTTATCAATTTACACAAAAAAAATTTTTATTGTTGCCTCGTTTTGGAAACTATGCTAAAGTTGCAATATGGCGACTTTTCTTGCATTGGTTTAACAACTTTACTGTTATTTCAATATGAAAACTAGAATGAAGAGGTAAGTATTCTGCAGCTTCAAGTAGAGTCAGGCAAATGATAATATTTGCATGTAACTATTCGTTGAAATTGGTGAATTGGTGTGGAACGTTCCCGCCTTTTATATTTCATATAATTTTGTTTTAAAACTTTGAAAAAGTCACTCATATTGTGTTTTTGGGTCGTGATACGTAACCGTGTACTTCGAAGATTGAGCCATTGATTACGTTTGCTCTCCAAAAATTTGTTTTCTTAGTTAAATTATAAGTGGGGTCTCGTTTTTTGGGACAGTGATATCGGTTGTCTTTGGTTGGCGCTAGAATTCCGGATGATGGGTATGGCTGGTCGCATTGGGTTCTCATGGGCTCTGATGCAGGGAGATTTTAATAAGGTTAAATAGTGAGGAGGCCAAGGGAGATTTTAATATCATAACAAAATATTTAAAAAAACTCTATTGTTTTACAAAAAAGTGAGGGGGCATAGACCCCCCGGTCCCTCTTCGTCGGAGGCCATCATGGTTCTTGCTTCAGCTGTCAGGGGCTTGTGCTGTTCTGTCTCGCAGAATCTGCCCTGTGACTTTGTTTGTTATTTGTTTTTTAAATTGCATTGTTACCTAATTTTATATTGTTTATTGACTGTTTAATGACTGGAATTTTAATGTGAAGAAACTGAAACTTAAGCTTCATTGTTGCATTCCAATGCATCTACAGTAAGGCCCCTGCCTACATTATTTGCTTTGTAGATTCAGCATAAATTTACTTTGCTAGCCACTGACCAATTCTCCTTCAGGTGCATAATACCTATTTGATTGGTTTTGTACAATATTGGTAGGTAGAAAATAGAAGTGAATTCAAAAGAGATAACAAATTAAGATTTAAGATTAAGATTTACTGACTTTGTTATTGTTTGTTTTACAGGATCACAAATGAACCGACGCACAACTGGCTGCAGCTGCATAAGTACCTTTGTTGGAATTTTATTTCTTTTGCATACATGGCTATGCAGTGGTGCACTGAGATCCAAGGTATTATCACTAAACAATTTGCAAGGTTTCCTTTAAATCTTGTACTCACTTCATTTTTCATGTAGGTTCAATAGATCTTGAAACAATACATTAAGATACAGTTTTTTATATAACTTTATGTATTAGAATGCAAAACACTTTCACAGTTAATCAGGTAATCTATTACACATGTTTCTGGTGTGCATCTAATTTTGTCTGGAGAGGAAAGGAGAGCTTTTTATCTGACTGAAGAGACATCAAGAGGGCAATGATTTAGAGGTCCGATTTGCAAATACCATATTTTGCCATGTATAGGCGCATCCTTGCATAAGACACACATTTAGTTTCATGTTTGAATTCTGAAAAAAATTATATTTTAAGCTGTCCTATCATGCAAAAAGGCACCACCCCTTTTCTAAGGCATGTATAGCTCAGTGGAAGAATAAACTTGAGAATACTATAGACAATAACTCTATGAGGAAAATTCATCCAAACTGCAATGCTTCAAATATTAAGATATTACCATTGAAAACATCAAGTAGAAAGTTTAGCAGCATAAAATAATCAAAATCATAATTAACGTTAACAGGTTTTAAAATCCATAAAACTCTTGTTCGTCATCTGTTTCATTCACAAAATTCACAATGATTACACAGGCTTGGCCGTTTGTATTTTAATAGGTGAGCTGTGAATTGCTCCCCTCATTTGCTGAGGCAAGCTAAATCAGTAACACATATAATGTACTTTAAAGACAATCGACAGATGACTTAAGCCCCTTTAGTATCTGTTGGTTGCCTTTAATAGCCTCAGTCAGGAGTATGCTGTTTTATTTCTTTCAATTTGTATTCGCTTTAACCGTGACTTAAAGTATTTACTTAACCCCTTTACTTAAAGTATTTAAAAGAATAGACTCTTTCAGTTTCATGTCAAGCTGGCACAACACAAAAACAACATTTCTTTTGCCAAACAACCTTTTGGTTGTACAGAATTTGAAAATGGCTTTGAAAAACAAATTTTGAAACAAACTTAAGTTATACCTCTAACACTCTTCAGAGTATAAAACATCAGAACATAGATGGAAAACTCTATGCTAAAATACCCAGTTTTGGATCGAAATAGGCCAATCAGAAAACGCGAGCACATTACTGTTGAGGTTGTCCAATCTTTGCCGCTTTCCTATTGAAAATGTTACCAACAGAGTCCTAAGGTGAAAACGAACTCCTTCTGTCTACACAAAAGCGGTCTGTCATGTTTATATAGTAGATAGATTCACAAACTGCTAGATGGAACGATGATCATGCTTTGCCAAAATGCGAAACATGTCGCCGTTATAGTTTTTCACCCAATCTGGGTTTTTCAGTAAATGCTGCTGGATAGTGGGATTCCATGCTTTGGTTGTCGTTTTTGATCTGCAAGACAGAGTACCTTGTTCTCTTTGAGGGATAGTTTTGTTACTATTGCTGGAAGGGACCTGGTGTTTTATTATATCCCCCAATCTACAGTTCCTACCAATTTCTTCGACTTTCCTTCCAAAAATATGCCTGTTTTATTAAGATTGAAAGGTTCTAATCGCTACAAACATACCTTTCGCTTAACCACCCTTTTCCAAATAGATTGAAGTTCATGCCTATTATAACAAAAACCGCCCAACAAGCAAAAAGTTAATTGCAAAAAATGCAGTGACGGGAGAGATCGCTGTTACCAAAAATAAACCAATTAACCCTTGTACCTTTTCAGGGTTCTCTGAATAGGAAAAGGGCAAATGAATGGAAATTTTAGGGGAGCGATTCTCCCTTCATGTTCTGTTTAGGAGAGCAATTCATAGCTCGCCTCAGGTTGCGAGGGGAGTGTGGAGGCGAGCGTGAGCTATCGCTCGCCTCAAACTGCCAGGCCTGATTACAGGGATGTGCCATCCAATTAAGAGAATACAGGGCACAACCCTTCCATTTAGGAGTAAAAAGGCTTTTCAGATATTTTTCTATCAGAGCTGGAGAATTTCAAAGTTTTTTACTAAATTTTTGGTAAAAATATGCTTACTCAAATTAAGAGAAAAGGTGCTTCAAATTTCACAATATTTTGTTTATAAAATGACACTTTGATTTCAAAAGAAAATGATGGGACAGTCACTATGAATAAGACACATTCTCAAACAAAGCCAGAATGATAATTCAAAAAGGGTGCATCTTATGCACAGCAAAATACACTATGTTCTTTATTGACCAGATACAGGTCTTAAAAATGGATTGTATAGTCAAAGATATTCAAAGGAAAATACATTTGATCTTTTATTAAGTATCCTTTATTCTGAGGTATCAAACACCCATTCTAGATTGCCAATAATTCTTTTTCAAAATGCCAGTTTATCAAACTTTCCTTCCCATGGAGTCCTGTTTCTGTTCTGTGTTTCCTAGTTTATTCCTTTCAAATCATAATTTGGTTTTTTATTCTTGTAGTATGCCAATGTAGTATTTATGTCTTGTAGTATGCCAATGTTCATTTGTTGATGAAAAGAAATGAATTGAGTAAGATTTTTGGTGTTGAAAGGCATTCAGAAGGTGAGGAATGTTTTTACAATGTTTTCAACTAATTTAGATCTTTATTAAGTTTTTGAGAGGTTAGTCTATAAGCTATAAGTCTTTTACCGATTTAGGCCTTGCACTAAGCAAAGTGAAGGTGCTTCATAAACCTAGCTCCTAAGAAAGTCAAGGCACTCTATTTCACACTTATATGTAAAATTCCTTTTTGTAAAAATTTGTGTTTTCTTCTTAATGGAAACTAGTCAAAAGTTTTGCATTCAAACCAAACGATCCACTTTCAAATATAATTGCGTTTTTAATGATTTAAATCTCAAATTTTTTTAGATGTTTGTGTTTTTGATGCATGGAAAATATTAGTGGTGTAAACTCTTATATGAATCTGATAATCCAAAACATTTTGGTCATTCGAGAAGATTGTCAAGTTTTATCAAAATAAATTTCAAACAATATTTTGCTTTGTGGCAATACCAGATTACATTTTCAGGCACCAGATAAAAGGCTATTTTAGGTGCACTGGCAAGGCCTGCAGATTGCAATACCTACAAGCAATCATTTTAAACTGCAGATTGCAAAATCACGCTTTTGCTAGTTGACTCTTTATTCAAATCTCATGTATGATATAGCAATAATTTTAGAAAGCTTTGTTATCTTCCACCTAAAGTCAAAATATTTTTAAATCAATATGCAACGTTTTGGTAGATTAAGTAAAGATGTCCAACTAAAGACAGCCTTAATTTTTGATATAAAAACTCTACTATAATAGACAATTGAGTGATTAAGCAAACGTTTTTATTTATCTTGCATATCATCTGATAATTTGTTGATATCATTAATCTTTTATTTAGCATATTCAAATATATGTATCTTTATTATCTCAACATCGGTTGCAGTTCCACGCTATACAGTCACATCCCCAAGTTTTATTAGCAATGGATTGTACAGTAGTAAAAGTACATTTGCAAGAAAAAGAAGAGCAGCCGAAGGGGAAAGTGAACAAAAGTCATTTGGCCTTGGACTCAATGCATTTGGAAGAACCTTCAATCTCTCACTTTCCCCTAACAAAGACCTCTTTGCACCAAACTTCAAGATTGAAATACTTAGGAGAAATGGCACTGAAGTATCTAAAAAGTCCTTTGAGCACTGTCACTTCACGGGGAAAGTCAATGGAGAAAGTGGCTCGGCAGCAATTAGTGCATGCGGAGGCTTGGTGAGGTTTCACAACAAACTCTGATATTATCTTACACATAATTTCATCACATTGTGATTTCTGTTTTAATGTATCAAACAGAGATTGTTTTTTATATAAATATTTAGTTACTGTAAGTCCTGGAATGAGCCCCTGAAGACTTATTTTGCAAAGAATGTCTCCAAATAGGGACGTTATTCGAGGGGAGGGCTCATTTGAAGGTGGGGATTATACGAGGACTTATATTAGGTTCAATCAAAGTGAAGAATCCCAGGATGTCATCTTACATGATTGTAATCCTTACACTTTCCTCTTCTGTTGTCCAGTAAGATGACCAATTTCTTTTCCTTCATTTTCAGACTGGGTTGTTCACATCTGATGAACATGACTATTTCATCCATCCTGTCCCATTAATCAGTGGCCTGGAATTTGACCAAGAAGTAGAAAACCCACACATAGTATTTAGAAGGTCGGTTAAACATAGATCCAGACGAAGTGCTCCTCAAGGCCAAGGTTTATTTGACAATGTTATGGATAAGTTTACCGAAAGCAGTAAAACAAAGTCATGTGGGACTAAAGGTAGACTATTATCATTATCAGCATCAATTATCAGGTACTTTAATGTTGCATGTTACTCCCAGAAAGCAAAACAAAATTCTGTGCAATCATTCTAATGTAATTCTAATCTGACATAAATTGTAACACAGTAAGAAATGTTGTTTCGATTACTTGTTCTTTTGGAAAGTTGATCCCAAAAAATGTTGGTAGAGCGTACCACTTCTTACAATGAACTTCTGACCTGTAAAGAAATATTTTTCTTTCTTAAAACGGGATGGTTGGTTAATCTGTGAAACTGTAACGTAGGGACAACATTTCTACTTTAAATATGCACCTGTCTCTGAGAAAAGTGTTACAGTAAATGGGTCGCTTGGAGAAGGGCGAACATATATTCAATTCTAAAACTATGGTAATCAGTGAAAGAGAGAAAGATGCAAAGCATGAGAAGAAGCGACGTTTTTTATTTAATGCAAACTCGAGATAAGAGAAGCAAAAACATGTTATATTTTTATATGCATCGTTAGCACTCCTGTTGATTAAGCAGAGTGTCTTTATTTTTATACCAAATATTGCTTGTAATTAACCAATAGAAAGAGTGAATCAGTTTTATTTCGCTCCCTCTCTTCAATTGGAAGACACGATGGAAGACAAACAAAATTCGGTGTCGGTCGATTATTTGAAATTAATAAAGTAAAATTTTTAATGTTTTGAGAAGCTTTTTTAAATGATTCTTTTGTACCGCAAAATTTGAAAGAAGCTCGGGAAAGCAAAAGCATTTCACACTAAGTCACTTTTTATCCGACTATCCCCAGAGTATAAATGTCGCATATAGTTTACCTCCAGCAACTGAACGAAAGAAATTCGATTGTAAAAAAGGCTCGTTTAGTTAGTTTCTTGAAAAGTTTGTTTTTCTCTTAACACAAGTGTTTTAGTGGTACTCCACGCGCAATTTTTCAATTGATTTGAAATCACATTTCAGCTGACCCCAATATTCGATTTAGAAGAGAGGCTGATGACAATGCAGAGGCCGTTTCCATTGACAATAACGAAAGATTTATCGAGGCTCTTGTTGTTGTTGATCAGAAGATGTGCAACTACCACGGAGAAGATGCGGCCACGCAGTTCACCATGGCTGTGCTGAATATGGTAAGATATCCTGCCCTATCCAAAATACTTTTACAGGCAAGGCAGGTCTTATTGTGTCTTGAACGGTTGCAATCCAATACCGCGAAGTTTCTCTTTGATATCATTAGCTTCTGAGGTGCCTCTTTTTCTAGAATAAGAATTCAACCTTCAGTACTCTTGAAGCCAATCATTTTTAATATCTAGCCTTCTGAACGTAATTTTAGGTCTAGAAAAATGCATGGTGAAGGAATTTTGCTTTATTCAGTTTATCACAAATAATACATATAGCTTCTGACATTTTTTAAATTCTGTGCTCCAAATGTGTAAAATTCAATGATATTTCGCCCATATCTATCGTACCCTAAAGCTGTTTCAAGACATTTGTCCTCTTTGAAAGTCTGTTGATAACGCAATCTCGGTTTCTAAAGACTTGTTAAAACCAAAGTGTATGAGAAGACATATTCCTTGAAAATATATGTATTCCTTTTTACGGGACTGGATGTATCAACGTCAGTTTCATCACAATATATTTTTAGTTTTCCATAAAATATATGCAGTTTGACTGATGCCTGCACCACCGATCAAATCTACAGTTATTTTTAATTTGATTCATCGAACACAAAATGTTGCCTATACCAAGCCTATAATAATTATTTTCAGCTATTGTCTTATATGTAATGAGGCTGAAAGCAAGTTGCTTAAAAGTGATGTTTCGTTTTTCACTAAATTAGTTGCTTATCGTTTTACCGCTTGTTAACTTTACCGTATTCATTGAGCACTCGAATTAATTATCATCAAAATTGTGGGATGTGGTTTGACATATGTATTTTTGATGCAGGTATCAAGCCTCCTGCGCGATGCTTCGATCGGGTCAAACTTAATCAATTTGATAATCGTGAAACTACAGCTGTTGACTATTGACCCGGTAAGAAATATGTTGTTGTTTGTTTGTTTGTTACTGAGATGAATTTCATCAAATTGAATTTTTTCAGGGAAATCATTTCAGTCTCCATATTTGAATAGTATTCCTCACAATGATTTTTTTATTTTTCATCAAGTAATAGTTACCTTCACAACACGAAGTTAATGTACGGTTGTAAATGCAAACGTATTTTTTTAGCTAGCAGTTACCTAATATCAAAATAAAGTAATATTTTTTATATAAATGCCTCCACAAAATCGTTAATATGCCCTTATATTGAAATTAGCTCACTCTTGTTACGAATCCACTTGTAACCACTTTATATGAATTATTCATTATGACAGTATGTCTAATAGAAATCTAAAACCAATGTCTAAGGCTTTACATAACCGATGTTAAGTTTTCACGATATATCAACTGCTCCTGGGAAGATATAAAGAAACTGATATTTGCTGTCAGTTTTTATCAAGACAATTATTTAAATTGTCCCTGCATTGATGTGTTTATGCTCTGTTTTATTCATGTCTTCTTAAAACAACTCGTTGTAATATGTATTACGCAATACAATTTTTATTTTCACCGATGTTTAGTTCACTAAATCCATTGCTTTAATTGTAATACTTTGATTAATCTCCGTTAGGCCGGATTAACCATAAACCACCACGCCCAGAACACGCTCAACAGTTTTGGCACTTGGGCCAGCTCACATAGTGACCCTGACGACAATTCTGACGATCATTTTGACTATGCTTTCTTGTTGACAAGGTATGTTAATTTAGATCACAATGGCCACTTTTCTTAATAAAACACAGAAGAAAGACATCCAATTGTTGGTAGATAATTCTTTGTAGCCTGCAAACCAAAGCCTTCGACGAAGTCCAAAACTGTTAGAAGACCTTCGTGTGATGACAGCAGTATCCTCCCATTTCAGTTTATTGTTGATTAAAATATATTGAAAGCCTGGAAACGACTGTACAATCCTCATCAAGTTTACATCCGCCTCTGTCCATAATTTTTTCAAACCCTATCTATTGAAAATTTCAATAGCTGTTAAACTTATTTACATAAAGGATGCTTTTTAAAGCAATCTTTTACACCTTATTAATCGGTTACTCTTTAAAGCAGTCTTTGTGTAG